TCCCCAATTCCCTAATCGCTTAATTATTTAACTACTTCTTAAGTAGAAATAAGTCGAAACCGGTTACTTTGTACTCGAATATTTGTAGTCTCGGGAAAAAATGGAAAGACAAATTTTTATGACAAACGGATACATAAATCGTAAATTTAAGGAAAATAAATTCTACAGCTTTTTCCGTATCTTGTGCATCTCTCTCATTCATTAAATTTAGTTGTAAACGACGCTGTCGAAGTAACGGTTAATTTTTTAACATTATACAAGAATTGTACACGTTTTTTTCTACATCCCCTTAAAGATAGGACGTACGAAATCGTAATATCACCGGTTTAACATCGAAATCCGTGAGTAATATAAAATGGGAGAGCGGAATAAAAATATCAAATATTTTAATGAATTTTTTAAAACTCCTGTCGACTATACAGAACTATCGTAAAAACATACCAGTAAATTCTTATCGGTTGGGTTAAGTTATAAATCTACTCATTATTCACGTAATCGAAATATCTAGTGGGCGGGCGGCTAACAGCCCAGAACCTGTCTTTGATAGAATTGGAATCGTTATATGTGTGCAGCTTCCACTCAAGGTCGTAGGCTTCCACCGGCTAAACCGGGTGAGGTTGGTGCTCTGTAAAGCGCATGCGCAAATCTGGCTNCAATATCCTCACCTCACTGTCACCGAACAAAGGGTTGTCGATCAAAAAAGAACAATTATACAAAACAACCTTATCCCACAAACAACACTTGAACTTATCAAACAATAGGTTGCTAATCAAATATATCAACAGACAGAAATATTTAACATTAGCGAAGATCACGTAACCTGTCAGGATAATCCAGCAAGAAGCATTGATATTAGCATACATACAACAACTACCACTAATGATACTACAGGCACTTCCCCATCCATCACTGATAACTTAGACATAGATTTAGTTAATACACTCTCACTTATATTTCAGGAAACACTCACTAAATATACAGGCACAGATCCCACACAAAGACCACGAATACCGAAAATCAACATGTCAAAGGTAGTAGGAAAAACACTAAATTATGTAAACACTCTATTCTTTCAATCACCATAACAGTGTATTTCTATTAATAGGACTTATCATACTGGTGTATAAGATTACTGCAACACAGTCACACAGATTAAAATTGTTTTATTTACAATTACCTGTAAATGATAAGTCCTATTAATAGAAATACACTGTTATGGTGATTGAAAGAATAACTTATTTAAATTAAGGACATTGATGCATATTAATTATGTAAACACTCACTTACTACCAAACTACATTCGTTCAATTTCTACACTCTCAGACATTCATACATTAGTTTATGCTGGGGCAGTCACAGTAGTAACACACCATGGACTGAAAATATAATCGCAAACACACACAAAACACAATTCTATCACAAGCCTGCCTGGCAGAGAAGAATAGAAACACAAATAAATGACATTAGACAGCAATTAGGCAGGCTGACACAATACACTAAAAACAACATAACACCCAAATTAAAGAAACAACTCAAAAACATTTTCAAGAAAATTAAAACACACAAAAAACGAATACTTAACATATTTATACGGCTGCGGAGCGTGCATACACGCAAACTGCCAAATCCCCAGGGTGCCGATACCGGTCAATGTCAAATACCTGTTTAGTCGCATCACTAGTATACCTCAAAGGAGGCGACGGGGACGTTGTAGATTTTAAACGTTTCTCACCATAGCTGTAAAAATCTAAATATGTTAAACTTAATAGTCATTTGTTTTCTAACTAATTCGTTTTAGGACCAAGTGTCCTCAAAAATTTCCAAAATTTACATCTTTTCGGTCACTCTCGTTGAACTGAAAAAATTTCTGTCTTTATTACATCTAACATTACGAAGAAATCAGTCCCCACTGTACTCGGCTATAGATTGGTTAGGTTAAGCTTTTGTTTAATTTAAGTAAAATTTCGGTACTTTCTTTGTTTATGTCCCCAATTCCTAATCGCTTAATTATTTAACTACTTCTTAAGTAGAAATAAGTCGAAACCGGTTACTTTGTACTCGAATATTTGTAGTCTCGGGAAAAAATGGAAAGACAAATTTTTATGACAAACGGATACATAAATCGTAAATTTAAGGAAAATAAATTCTACAGCTTTTTCCGTATCTTGTGCATCTCTCTCATTCATTAAATTTAGTTGTAAACGACGCTGTCGAAGTAACGGTTAATTTTTTAACATTATACAAGAATTGTACACGTTTTTTTCTACATCCCCTTAAAGATAGGACGTACGAAATCGTAATATCACCGGTTTAACATCGAAATCCGTGAGTAATATAAAATGGGAGAGCGGAATAAAAATATCAAATATTTTAATGAATTTTTTAAAACTCCTGTCGACTATACAGAACTATCGTAAAAACATACCAGTAAATTCTTATCGGTTGGGTTAAGTTATAAATCTACTCATTATTCACGTAATCGAAATATCTAGTGGGCGGGCGGCTAACAGCCCAGAACCTGTCTTTGATAGAATTGGAATCGTTATATGTGTGCAGCTTCCACTCAAGGTCGTAGGCTTCCACCGGCTAAACCGGGTGAGGTTGGTGCTCTGTAAAGCGCATGCGCAAATCTGGTTTTTTGGAATCTGAAAATTTCAGAGATTCCACTCTGCCACTAATATTCGAATATACAAAAGCAATTTTTTTTCACGTATAGTATAGAAATTTGTAATAAGATACATAATGCGGTTATAATAAAATATTGTGCGATTATTTTCATATAATTAAAATTAATATTTATTTTTAGAAAATACGAGGGAAGCGGCGCTTCCACCGCTTCTAATGATGGCACGCCACTGTGTTAAAATGACACTGTAAGAAATGCAATAAACATTTAATTACTAAAGTACAGTTTTTATATAAACACAACTTAATAAAATGGCAATACACTCTTCGAAACGTTTAGTAGAAACATCTTTGTTTTAAAAGTTTTAAAAACTTAAAACAAAGATGTTTCTGCTAAACGTTTCGAAGAGTATATTGTCATTTTATTAAGTTGTGTTTATATAAAAACTGTACTTTAGTAATTAAATATTTATTGCATTTTTTACAGTGTCATTTTAACACTACTAATGTCGAATTTATTTTATAATAAAAATATTTCAAGTATTTGTGTTCTCCAATCGTTAAATTTTACCATTATCTTGCATAAAAATCTTTGTATAAAATGTGTTACTAAGACCAAATTATATACGAGAATAAATCTTATCTCTATAGTAAGTTGTTTGTGTTAATATATATTAATCTGTAGTATGAATAATGTAGGAATTTCTAAATTAAGGTACAAAACTTTTTATACCTTCACGTATTCATTTGCCTGTTGACTGGCACCAATTTTCTGCTTTATTGGTCGATGAAAACACTAATGGACATTTAAAAAAATTGTTAACAGGAACAGTCAAGCAAATAATTGGAGTCAAGATTTCATCTCGGAATCTCCTGACAAACATGAGTTCGGACCTGAGTAAAAATTTATGTTTTAACTGAAATATTACTTTAAATTCTATATAAATAAATAGTTACGAAATTGTAATTAAAAAAATATTTGTTTATAGCAAGTATTTGCACTTCCGTATCGTATACAAATAAAATCAAACCAGAACTAAAGCCGAGAAAACACTATAAGTATGAATATGTCGCACTGATCATTCAGAATTTTCATGTACTGTACCAAGCATTCTAATTCTGATAGTTTTTTGATTATAAGAATATACACCCTCCCCCATACATATATATGCACAAGATTACATATTAATGAGCCATTATAAATGCAATTAATTATTAATAATTCGTTTTAAAACACAGAAGAAATTCTACAAACATTCTTTACGTATTACATATTCGTATATCTAAGTAGATTATCTGATTACAATATACAAAAGCAACAAACCGTGTACTTTAATAAAACTGACTTATAAGTTATTTTTAAATTTTGCAATATATTTCCAGTTCCTTATTATTTAAACTGTCATTTTAAACGTTGGATTGTCACTTTACCAATCATTGAGTATTAGACAAGTCGTCGTATCCATTATTATTTAGCACAAGATGTTAAACATAAATTATGTTCCCTTTTTTCTCTTTCTGCAGCTTTATGTTACTTGTGACGAGCATAAACATGTATTCGATTACATTATAGGTGAGTGATTTATACACTATTCATTCTTTTTTAAAATTCTATAACCTTCTTTTACTTTTACAGTTGGTTCAGGACCTGCAGGATCAGTTATAGCCAATAGGATTTCTAAACTACTATCCCTTAAAGTTCTTATGTTAGAAGCGGGAGAACTGCCTCCTTTAATGTCTCAAGTTCCACTTTACCCTTTAAATTTAGCTCGAACGAGTGTCGATTGGAATTTTACAACTATACCTAGTAGAACCATAGCTCAAGGTCTTAAAAACAGGGTAGATAATTTATAGTAAAACAGTTCTAGAGAATAAATTAACGTCTGTAATTAAATCAAGTTTATTCCTATTTAGCAAAATAGAATTATAGCAGGAAAAGCTTTAGGTGGATCCACAGCTTTAAATTTTAACTTATTTGTACGTGGAAACAAAAGGGATTACGATAACTGGGCGAGACATGGCGCCATAGGTTGGGACTGGAAAAGTGTCTTTCCTTATTTTCTAAAACTCGAAGACAATCGAGATTATCATATAGTACGCAATGGTAAATCTTTCTTCAATTGTGCTAAATTGTTTTTAAATCATATAGCGATTTAATGATAATAATATACAACACAGGATATCACGGTGTTGGTGGTAATGTTGTTATACAGACACCACCATTTCATTCACCAATAACAGAAGGTTACTTAAAAGCAGCCATAGAAATTGGATATGGTAATGGAGACTTCAATGCAGAGCCTCAGGCAGGTACAGTATTTCGTAATATATATTCTATTTTTAATTTTATGTTATAAATATTACTATACGTGATCGTAAACTTACTCTGCATTGGGCGAGAAAACAAAAGGAGCTTCAAAGAACGAAGTAACGACATCACAGTCATTTTAATACTACTTTAATTAATTCAAATTTATAAAATATACAAATGTTTCAGTGTTTCAACCAGAGCAAGGAACTATTGATAGAAGAGGATGTTGGGGAGCGCTTCAAGCTTATATTAATCCTGTACGGGGTAGAAGAAATCTTTGGATCCTGACTTCAGCATTTGTTCACAAGGTAACTCATCATGTACTGTACTTATGTTTTATATAAAGGATTAAATAAATAAACTTTTATATTTATAGATATTGATCCAGAACAAATATGCTTACGGTGTTAAGTTCGAACACCGTGGACAGACCTACGAAGCTTATGCCAAACACGAAGTGATCATATCTGCTGGAGTGTTTAATTCACCGAAACTATTAATGCTATCAGGAATCGGACCAAAACGTACTTTAGAGAAGTTTGATGTAATAATTATATTATTTCCAAATTTTATCCTTTATATACAAATATAAAGTTTAACATAAATGTATTAGATTCCTATTGTAGCGGATTTACCGGTTGGAAGAAATCTTCAAGAACAGCCATCCACTTCTGGTATGACATTTGCAGCAAAATCATATACTTACTCCACAGAACGTATCACCGTACTGGATTACAATAAATTTTTAGTCAATGGCACAGGTAGGATTGAAATAAACACTGGTACACTTAATACTGCATATGTATAAAATATTGTATTTATTATTTTACTTTAGGTCCACTAACATCTTTAGGAGGAATTGACACAATTGGATTTGTAAATTCTAAATACAATGATGATCCTGGTTGGCCAGATATTGAAATGTTATGGTTTTCTTTATCAGCTGCATCGGATAATGGCGCAGTTTTAAGACACGCGGCAAACTTAAAAGAGGAAGTAAGTTTATTTTACATTTTCTTTTAGAAGTTTTATACATTATATACAAAAGGTAATGCATTTGCTTCATTTGTGTGCGACTGTATCATTACGAGAATCTCATCACATCTCTGATCAAAGAATCTTTCAAGTCTATTTCTTTTGTTCAGTATTTTGAAAAATCTCCCCTTAATTAATATTTAATTTATCAAAATTATGTAATTTTTATTTATTTTTCAGGTATGGAAGAAAATGTTCGAACCCTTTATATCGATTGACACAATAGCGTGTTTTCCGTATCCAACACGTCCAAAAAGTAGAGGATTCGTTACCATTAGATCTAGCGATCCTCACGACGATCCTCTCATTGATTTAAAATTTTATTCGAATCCCTATGACTTAAAAATTATAGTTGAAGGTAAGAGAATTATAATTTACTTGTGATGAAGGTTTATAACGTGTTGTATCATCATAATTTAATAAATTATTTAATAATTCGATTGTTAGGTTTGAAATACTGCCTGAAAATGGCATCCACGGAAGCAATGAGAAAATTTGGAGTTTATCCACTTCCAGTAAGTGTCCCCGGCTGCGAACATTATAAGAGATTCACTGATGAATATCTCGCTTGTGTAGCGACAACACTTCCATTTACAGTATATCATTACTGTGGATCGTGTAAAATGGGAAGTGTTGCCGATCCTACAACTGTGGTTGATCCAACACTCAAGTAAGTACTCTGAAAATTTATGAATATATATATTTTAATTATCTTACAATTAAAAATATTGTGATTAGTGTTTTAAGCGTGCAGAATTAAGATCTATCATTATAACTTTATCTGGTTTAAACCTTCAGAAACTCTATAAGAACATACTGTACAGTCGACCCCCCCTATAACACTGTTGATAATTCCGTTTTATATGAATTCCATGTTGTACGAGTCACTTAGATTTTACAAATGCGTGAGCCGTTCACAGCCCGACACACGTGTTTGTAAAATCTAAGTGACTCGTACAACATGGAATTCATATAAAACGGAATTATCAACAGTGTTATAGCGGGGTCGACTGTATTTCCTTCTGTAATATTAAAATCGCTCTAGTACTGTACTTAATTAAAAGTCACAACCATTAAATTACTGTAAGTTTTCTGTAGAAAAATTATCATAAACTTTTTCGACTGAGGCAGTAAAACAATAATTTTTTTATATCTTGCAGAGTTAAAGGTGTAGAAGGACTAAGAGTAGCGGATGCTTCCATAATACCATTTGTAGTAACTGGGCACTTAAACATTCCAACTTACATGATTGGGGAGAAGGCTGCTGATATGATTCTGTCTGATTTACTTCATAAACATAAACATGAACACAAATAAAATACCTTATAATTGTTCATAATTGAATAATTGCATGATTGAATAATGTATCCTTTCAGTCTAATACTTTATATAGTCAACAGAATTATCTCTAAATTATTGATTTAGTTGGAATATTTTAAGAATACGTTGATTCTAATATCATGCCACTGTTAATTAACTTAAATATACCCAATAGTTCATATAAACTTATACAATTCTCTCCTCTCTCCTGTTGCAATTTGGCAGTGGCATCCCTGTATATATATTATATTCACATACTTACTATATAAATATAGATTTCTTTGGAGAAGTAGTCTAAGTAAATTCAGACTAAGTAGTCTTTACATTAATTACTCTATTTACCAAAGAGTAATTGATGTATTACTATTATAATTAAACAATATACAGTCTTCAGGCAAAGAGTAGATACTAATGCCATATAAAATGTATATAATGCAGTTATTTTCATGTCTTTTCCTGTCATTTTTTCCTATTAACGGGAAGAGAAGAAAACGGATTGTATTTATTTTAAAATTTTTAGCGAGGGAAATCTTAAAACACACACACACATACACTTACAGACAGTTAAGTAGTCAGTGATAAATTAATTAAAATAATGGCTAACCTGAATTTGGAAATCATTCAATACGCTTATAAAAGAGACAAGGAACGTTCTTTACTTTAAAAACAGAAAGTATTAGTAGAACGATTCAATTAAAATTAAAGCATTAGCATATAATGAAATTATTGATCCAAGAAAAAAGTAAGTCAGACTTAACCTAAGATAATTTTTAATGTAAAAACCTACTTTTCGTCGATTTAAACTGCTTTATTCAGATTCTAACATAAAGAATATGCCGATAAAATAGTTTTTACTTCTTAATAAAGTCAATTCTTAAAATCCAAGTTTATACAATAAAATGCACCTTAAAATAAATAATTATAAGAAGAGAGAAATGGGAGAAGTAAGAAATTATAATTAAAATTAATACTATTAAATTCAAGGCCAGTTTATAGCGGAAATGACCTTTGTTTGTGGTTATTAACCTGACCTATATAAAGTTGTAAACGGCGAAAGTTAAGTAGAACGGTGATATACAACGACACATTTCTTTAACTAAACGAATGTTAACTTCTAACATTAATAATTATTAACGTAATAATTTACGTGTACATGTGTACAAAGAAAATTATAATAATTAAGAAATTGGAGCCATATATCAACTCATTACTCTATGATAATCAGTAAATACTTCAATGTTTTTGTTATTAAATCAACAATAAAGTTACCATCGAAATTACGGAATTAAAACAAATAATTATAACTCTATTTTGTAAAATAATAAATATTTACACTTATATTGTTTATTATTATTTCATGGGGGCGAAAGGAACACTTACCACCCTTTGGGATCGAGTAAAACATCCTCTTACACCTCCAATCAAGGGACACTTTATCTGTCTTAAAAAATCCCAAAAATTAAATAATTAAATAAAAATTTATTAATGTAATTAAAGTAAAATCTGTCGAAAATGGAAACCTGCCAAATATTCGGCTCCAGTTTACACAGGTTTTACTCTATGTGTCTCTAAGCTTTGCCATTACCTAGAAAATTTTCAGCACACTCCCACCATCATCATTTATATTGCGTTAAATATAAGGTTATTAAAATTAAATCATTATCAGCTTATAATTTTAAGAAGATCCTAATTTATAGGGCAGAAAATTATTTAGATCATCATCATTAATTTAACGTTTAATTAATTAATAATCTTTAAATCTTAAACGAATAAGTAATAAAAATAACTTCAAATTCATCGTAATTTTATATCTTTGGCATTGATTTTACTGTATGAAAAAAACGAATAATATACAAAATATTGACCTATTTAAGATCTAAAAATACATTAATATTATCATAAATTTTTATATTTGATTTAATATTATATTATACATTACTGTAACTCTATTAACTCAATTAATTGTGGTTGAGAATTTGAATAATAAGGTTACTTAATAAATTTAAACTGTGTCAATAGAGATTAATAACGTTTAATTAAACACTTCTTATGAAGATTTTTAAGTGATGTTTTCAGTTAATGAGATTAAAGATTTTCAGATTTTTCTATAAATAAGTTATTACATAATTACTCTAGTTATATATCTACAATAGATAGTGTTTAAAAGTGTCCGAATTATTAAAAAATTCGTTAATCTAGCACCCGATAATCCGGAAGAAATTCTGTCAGAGGAGGCCTTGCAAACCCTATGGCTCTTTAAATTGGCCCACGAAAAGACAATGCAGATTTCTTTTGTGCTGTACAGTACATTAGAACAATTTAGATATAGAAACAAAGACAAAGTAATAAAAATGTAATAATAAAATGTAATAAAAATACAAACTGGTCTCGGATTTCATCCGTATAACACGGTTTCTGAGATGAATTAATGACAGACAGATGAACAGACGACAGTGTGAATTTAGTTCTACAATTTTTATCAAATTGCAGCCAAATAAAAGGTGTTTTCAGATAGATGAATACGTTTCCTTTGAAATAAATGCCATACTTTTAACGTTTAAGGGTAGATTAAATACACAGCATCTACATACATACAGTCACGAATAAACATTAATTATGCAGAATACTTTTTAAGATAGAGAATAAATTTGATAAGCATTATTAGATATGCACGTTTATATATCTAAATAAATTATCTAATTATCATAAGCAAGAGCAATAAACTGTCTGCTACACTTTAATACCGACATATCTTGTTTTTAGATGTGTTCTATTTCCAGTTCCTTACTATTAATAAATTATATTTTAAACGTTCGATTGTCACTTTATCGAATGTTAAGTGTTAGTTAAGTTGCTGTATACACTCGAATCTATTTATATTAACATAAGAATGTTAAATATAAATTATGTTTCTGTGGTTTTGTTTCTGCAGCTTTGTATTATTTGTGCCGAACATAATGTATTTGATTATATTATAGGTGAGTGTTTTTTATTTCATTCATAACTATTTTTGCAATTTTAATTTAAAATATAGCTTATATTATCTATATTTAATTTAATTAGACGTTAAACCCTTTATATTTATACATAATACTTTCAATTAAAACCATTGTTACCTTTTTTTTGTTTTTGTTTTCTGAAACCGTGTCCTGTTTTATAGGGGAGACCGGGGCAAGATCGGCATGTTAAGCTTTACTTAAATTTTGTGTAATAAATACTGCTGTAAACTGAAAAAAAAGCTTTGCATATTGTCTATTGGAATGTTACCTTACTATAGAACTGGTTAAAATCAGTTTGGAAATAAAAATAATTAAAATAATTACAACTTTACAAGAAGAGAGAAATTGACGAAGTTGCCCCGGGTATAGGGGCAAGATCGGCAACTTCTCTCTTTTTGTAAAGTTGTAATTATTTTAATTATTTTTATTAAAGTTGCCCCTGGTATAGGGGCAACAGTAATGGGGCAAGATAGGCACGTATATAAAATTATGTTATTAACAATGTATAAGTTGGAATTCACTATTAAAACAAAGAAATACAAATCCAACACCCATTTAATATTATTACAACGAAATGCAAGTTCAAAGACATATATACATGAATAACAAATGCAAACATGTTTTCATTTATCATCTGTTTGATTTTTATCCTTTGCTTCTAATGTGGCTTTATGTTGCCGATCTTACCCCGCTAGTCATGATTTCGAAACATTAAGTACAACCCTGAGAACAGAATGCCAAGCCACGATCTGGCCACGTGAATAAGTTGAAGTTACATCCTTCTAACAGGAAAAGTAACTTTCGTTATCATGGAATTATAACAAAACCTGCCAATTCAATATAAATGGAAAAAAAATATTATATGGAATTGAACGAAAATGAAAATTTGCTTGATAATTCAACTACGCTTGTTGGAGAACAATAAAAACACTACACTCAACAAGCCACCAATAAAACTCAACTGCCTAACCTATAACCAAAGTCTCCTTTTAATTTGTTTTAAAAAAAAGCGCTTGACAAACTTGCCCCGCATGCCGAAGTTGCCCCGGTCTCCCCTAATTCTGGCGTAGTAAACATTAGTATTGTGTTTTATTTCAAAGACACATGGCAAGTTTTCCATCAAGTTCTTTTATTAGTTGAGCCGATACGGTACATTGTTTTGTACTCGTTTCGAGCTTTGCCCCTCTTCAGTCAACTATAATACAATAAATGTTATTACAATAGAGAACTTACATAAAAAAAAACAATGAGCACACAAACTATGTATACACACCAGAGAAAGTAAAATAACTTATTACTGACAAAGTTATATTTCTTAAAAAGTATAAAGTTGTTTATTTATCGTGAGATGGTCTTAGCCTAGAGTATAAGTATACGAAAAATTTCAATTACAAAACAGAAAGATGTAGCTTTGTTTACAGTACTTATCCTCACTTTATTGACTCGTTGATGACAGTAAAATGCTATATCAGTATCTTTTTATTTACTACAGTCGGTTCAGGAACAGCAGGATCAGTGATAGCCAACAGGATTTCGAAACTACCATCCATTAAAGTTCTTCTATTAGAAGCAGGAGAAATGGTTCCTATAACCTCTCAAGTTCCACTTTTTCCTCTAAATTTAGCTCTAACGAAATACAACTGGAATTTTACAAGTGTGCCTAGTAAAACCATAGCTCAAGGTCTTAAAAATAGGGTAAGTAATCCGTAATAAAACATTTGTACAACGTAAGCTTACCTCTGAAATTAATTTGAATTTATTCCATTCCAGCAACATGTAATTGTAGCGGGAAAAGCATTAGGTGGAAGCACAGTTTTAAATTATAATTTATTTGTGCGTGGAAACAAAAGGGATTACGACAACTGGGCAAAACATGGTGCCACAGGTTGGAATTGGGATAACGTATTTCCTTATTTTCTAAAAGTCGAAGACAATCGAGATTACCACGTAATACGTAATGGTAAATCTTTACCCTCTTTATATATAATATATAAATTTATAAAACACGAAATAATTTAATAAGAATAATACACAATACAGGCTATCACGGTGTTGGTGGAAATGTTGTTGTCAAAATTCCACCATTTCATGCACCGATAACAGAAGGTTATTTAAAAGCAGCCAAAGAAATTGGCTATGGCATTGGAGACTTCAATGCAGAGCCTCAGACAGGTACAGTACATGGAAATAAATGGTATTTAGAATATTTTAAAAAGTATTTTATTTCATATTTATATAATATGCTTATATAATGTGTTACAGTGTTTCAACCGCCTCAAGGAACCATTAATAAAGGAGCACGTTGGGGAACTCTTCAAGCATATATTAATCCTGTAAGAGGTCGAAGAAATCTTTGGATCTTAACTTCAGCATTCGTTCACAAAGTAACGTATATTATCCTATTGTTTATATATTTATTAAGGAATTTAACAAGTAAAGACGTTTTTATATTTATAGATATTGATACACAATAAACATGCTTATGGCGTTAAGTTCGAGCACAACGGAAAATTATACGAAGCTTACGCCAAACACGAAGTCATCGTATCTGCTGGAGTTTTCAATTCACCAAAACTCTTAATGCTATCAGGGATTGGACCAAAACATACTTTAGAGAAGTTTGATGTAATAAGTATATAATTTTTAACATTAGAGAGGTTACGGCCGACGTTTTCAACGCGAAAACGTGTACGTCGGACGTTCAGCGCCTCTTTCCTGTTAGTCTAGAAGTTTGACAATGGCGTTTGGAACGTCAGTGGAATCATGCTCGACGTTCCAAACGCCATTGTCAAACTTCTAGGCTAACAGGAAAGCGGCGCTGAACGTCCGACGTACACGTTTTCGCGTTGAAAACGTCGGCCACAACCTCTCTATTATCTCTTTGCATATAAAAATATAACACAAGTCTTTTAGATTCCTGTTGTAGCGGATTTACCAGTTGGACGAAATCTTCAAGAACAGCCATCTACTCTTGGTATAAATTTTGGAGCAAAAGCTTTCACTTACTCTGCTGAACGGGTTACAGTACCATATTATAATGAATTCTTAGTCAATGGCACAGGTAAGATTAAAATAAACGCTGATACACTTAACACGGGTAGGCCTATATTCAAATAATCTATTTATTCTGTTACTTTAGGTCCATTGACAGCTTTAGGAGGAATTGAAACAATTGGATTTGTAAATTCTAAATATAATGATAAACCTGATTGGCCAGATATTGAAATATTATGGATTACTTTATCGGATGCTTCGGATAAAGGAACAGTTTTAAGACACGTGGTAAATCTAAATGAAGAAGTAAGTTCATTTTATAAATTTTTTTATAAGTTTTATATAATATATACGCTGTATATATATAGGGTGTTTACTTTAACGTTTATCTAGGTGCAAAATAGATTTTTCAGAATTGCCTGAGTATATAGGCTATATATTGTGCATCAATTCGATTGCGATGTTTTCATTAAAATTAATTTCATATATTTACAAAAATAGACAAATTTTCCAAATATAAGAACAAGATTTAAATTAAAATATCTTGACAAATCGTATAGCAGCTCACATTTTCCATATCGCTAGTATAAAGTCATGTAGTTATAATGCAATGTACTGATTGGTAGTTTGGTGGTAATGTCATAAACTAACAAACAATACAGCGAAATCATTATTCTTTATGGGAAATCGAGACGAAATGCACGAATAGCAGCACGTAAATTCCGTGAACAAACTTTACTGCTTAATGGAAACTTGTACAACAGTAAAGAATTGGGATTCATATTGCCCACGAAAGTATTGGCTTAGATATCAACATGAAAACATGTTTAAAGTGTCTGCAACACTGAAATCCACCGAATTTTACGTTTCATAATATGCACCCGTTCAACTGTCATCTGCAACTGATAAAGATATAATCGGCAAAATATTATTTATTCACCTACAACACCTGAGATATTAAAGATGTCGTATATAGAGTGTGTGGAACTAACTAGCCATTGAGAAATTGGTATAATTTCTATACTTCTACAGTAAACATGATGAAAATTATCTGATATATAACTGTTAAAAAGCAATGTAGATACAAACCTTAAAATTCATGAAGGAATCGGCGCAATCCAACAATGACACGTTTTTCTCTGACCGAGATATGGATGGATGGACACTTCTCTCTGCATCCGTAACTGAACATGTGGTCATTTTAGGATCGAATAATAATTTTTGACATTTACCCGAATGGGTTGTGGAATGACGAGTCTTTTCCGTAAATTTTTGCACAACAAACACCGATTTCCATGTCTAATAGCGTGCAGCAATCAGCTCACTCCTGAACCGAAAACCATTCGGCCATCATTTGCACCACAGCGAGTGTAGCCTCTCACAGTCACTGCCTACATCACTAATTCAGGAATTATAAAACTACATTGACTTACTTACATATTGTTAAATTTTATTATAATTGCATTACAATTATAAAAGTTATTGCAATTTTTCAATGGCTAATTACTTTCCACCCACAGTCTAAAATTTATTTAAATACGTTCGTTTCATAAATTTTCTATCCATATTTATGATTTTAAAATTATATAAATTTATTATTATTATTCAGGTATGGAAAACAATGTTCGAACCCTTTACATCGATTGACACAATATCGTGTTTTTCGTATCCAACACGTCCAAAAAGTAGAGGGTTCGTTACCATCAAGTCTAGCGATCCTCATGACGATCCACTCATTGATTTCAAATTTTATTCGAATCCTTACGACTTAAAAATTGCTGTTGAAGGTAAAATATATATTTTTTTTTCTGATAAAAGTTTACAATTTATGTAGAATCATTTAATAAGTTAATAATTAGGATTGAAGTACTGCCTGAAAATGGCATCCACGGAAGCAATGAGAAAATTTGGAGTATATCCTCTTCCAGTCAGTGTTCCCGGCTGCGAACATTACAAGAGATTCACTGACGAATATCTCACTTGTGTAGCAACAACACTTCCATTTACAATATACCATTATTGTGGAACGTGTAAAATGGGAAGTGATGATGATCCTACGACTGTGGTTGATCCAATGCTCAAGTAAGTCTTCTTCGAATACTTTATAAATATGTTGTTATTTAAGGTAAATACGTAATTTGTTTATTATTAATTAAGTTCTGAAAATATCTTATTAAAATATAAGAATTTCACTGTTTACACTGAATCAGTTACAAGTCATAACACTGGAAGATAGAAAGGAGACAATATAAATTGAGTTTGACAAATGGTTTTGCCCTTATAGAAACTAGCTATGGCTGAAAACTTAAGATTATATTTAATCGTATTAAATTCAGAAATTTAATTGTTATTTATATCTTTTTCAGAGTCAAAGGAGTAAAAGGGCTAAGAGTAGCGGATGCTTCCATAATGCCATTTGTGGTAACTGGACACTTGAACATTCCAACTTACATGATTGGGGAGAAGGCTGCTGATATGATTCTCTATGATCTACTTCATAAAGATACACACGAATAAACAATAGCTTTGAAAATACCGCTATTCAGTTGTACTGTACATAATCGAATAATTTTATCACTGAACAATCATTTGTTTCCATCTAATACTTGTATTGTCTTCAGTTTCTTGATTTTGTTGGAAGCATTTTATGGCTGTTTTCTTGTTATACATAATTTGACCATAACATTTCATGTTTACAAATCAAATGTGTGCATTGGTGTCACTTTTGTTTTTGTTTTGAGTGAATCCGTAGAAAATATGAGTAATGTTGTGTTTCAGTTTAAAGTAATTCAAACACAACTTCATCATTTACAAAGAAATAAAGATCTCAGGCTTATTCTATTCAGTTTTATATCCAGAAATTGACTATAGAACGTATCCATTATGCATATGCTATTTATTACTGTTTGCAACTCACAGTGCCACGAATGCAACAATGGTAAGTTTTGGTATGAAGTTTTTCCTCTCGAAAATCTTTTCTTCATATTCAGAAATGTCAATATAGGTAATTTGATTAAGTTTCGTAAAACATATTTCATATTGTTCGAACTGGATGATGAATCGATGTAACAGTTAACATAGATAATGACGTATCTATGTTAACTGCTTAAATTATGATGAATGATGATATACGCGAGATAATTATCATACGAATGGTAACCAGTTTAACTTGTATTTATTACTATGTGAATTTTAAAAGTACAGGTATTCTTCGCTTAACTCGAGAAATTAACTGCGTTAATCAAGTAATATCTGTACACTTTTATGTAAAAATAATAAAATATTGAAAAATAAATGAAATGGCTAATTAATATTGAGGGTAGTGATGAGTTGTATAGAAAATTGTAAATGCTAATAACGAGTAAATTCTTTATTAAATCCGATACCATTCGACATATCACGAGTGACCCTTTGTAGTATTCCATTCCCTCGACTTTTCACCACCTAAATTTAATTGAATTAATCTCTCTAATACGGAAACTTCCGTGCAAAATTTCAGAAATTTTAACCAAAAGACACAGGACTTATTAAGCTTCAAATTGGATGAAGAAAATCGTTTCCCTGCATACACTAAAATCCGTACATACAGAAAAAGATCCCTCCAAACATTTCTGCATTTCTGGACGTTTCCCAAGTCCAAAAATATAAAAATCTTGAGAAATGAATTTATTTAATTTAAAATATATGCTCTCCACCTCAAATTAGTAGTGGTTTGCCCCTGTACATGATACTTTTCCTTTAACAATAGAGTCGTGCTGGTCATCTATCTACCACTTTTCAGCGGAAAAAATAACACACGAGCCAGTTGGCAAAAGGAAATAATCCCAGTAGACATTCTATGAGAAACTGGCACCTATTTAGGTTGTTAAACACTTGAATAAAATCCGGAAAACTCCATGTGAACAGCTCGTAAATGAGAAGATCAATTATAGTATTCAGAGGTTTTATCCTATCTTATCGTGAGTAAATAAACATGGGTACCAGTTTATTTACTCACTTTCTAGACGTTGACATTAATGTAAACAATTTTATCGAATATATATTCTACAATTACATGATGCTAAAGTTTCTCAGTCATTTTACAGAACTTCGAATTAGACAACAGAGCTTAATTGTTTTCGACTAAAACAAGGAGTGCTTCTTTATAATGCTATAAAGAATTGATGCATTTTTTAAAAATATATCTGAAATTCGGGTCAATGCATTTAAATTACAGAGTATAAATATATAACACAGTGGTTTTATAGTAATTGCTGTACACATGCCCTGAAGTAAAGAGTATAGAAGATATCCGTATTAGTCTACAAGAAAAACAGGACTCGTTGACATAAGAAAAAGTTAAAAACAGTTGATTAATTTTTATGAATTAATATTTAAACAACCGTGAAATTTAAATGCATAATGATATCAATAAAAACACAAAAACATAGAAAGAAATTCAATGAAAAAACAGTAGATAATGTTATTTAATTAAGTAATATGACTAGGAAATGTTATCGATTGTTCGTAATTTGTTATTTTTTAAATTAGTTTTTATTATATATTTCTTTTTAACATTGCATTTTCTATTTTTATAATACAAAAAAATAAAATAAATGAAGTTTTAAAGAAATGCCTGAAGATATAAGTGACTAAACTTTATTTTTTTTCTGCAAAATTACAGAAAACCTGTTATTATAATGTCTAGCTCTATTGATTCCATACTATTTACATCACTTACCGATTTAAAATAACGATTAAAAGAACTATTTTAATTATTAAAGTTGGATAAAATATTTAAATTGTTATGTAAACTATCAAAAATTCGTTTTTTTAATATAAAAAGTGCAACGAGATTTAAGTAGGCCAACCTTTTATATTGATACATCATAATTATCAATCAATTTAGCTTTTAAGTACTAAATAATAATATTCTGATCAACGAAGCATTAAGTCACCATAGTCGTGGGTTCGTATCCCAGTAACATTTCGATCTTTTGAGTGAACAAGAAACACTAAATTACAGTTAAAATGTCTTTACAATTTGTTCCTTTACACATCTCGTAATAACATAATTGGGCTGCAATTTTAAAAGATTCTAGTTGTCTGTCCGTCTGTCTGTCTTCCCTTAATCTAGAGAAGGGAGTAAGATACGTGATAAACAATATCATATATCAAAACAATAGAGAAAGGAGGCCACAATTGACTATACATGAACATCTAATGCAAACCTTAAATATAAATAACTCATTATAAATTAACATTAATTATATTTTAAAACGAAGAAGAAATCTTATAAACAATTATTTACATAAGAATTTGCAATTATTATAAGCAAGAGCAATAAACTGTGTACTTTAATAACACTGATATAAATATTGCTGTTTTTTATTGATGTTCTATTTCCAGTTTCTTACCATTAATAACTTGCATTTTAAACGTTCGATTGTCACTTTATCGATTGTTAAGTGTTAGACAAGTTGTCTATCCATTATTATTCAGCATACGATGTTAAATATAAATTATATTCCTGTATTTTTTTTTTCCTGAAGCTTTGTATTACCCGTGTCGACGATAAAAATGTATTCTATTATATTATAGGTGAGTAATTTTACTCTATTGTTAGTGTGAAACATTTGTTTATTTAATTAATATATAAATTTACAATCGTTTTCAATATTATATAATTCATACGTATGTTACGTGTATTTGATATAGACAGGTTATATAACACCTGGATTATATATGTCATTCACTTTAAACACGTTTATAATTAATTATTCTAGTGCTATTTATTTATTTTTTATTCGATAAACTCCTTTTACTTCTGAAGTTGGTTCAGGCTCAGCAGGATCAGTTATAGCTAATAGGATTTCTAAACTACCATCCCTTAAAGTTCTTATGTTAGAAGCGGGAGAACTGCCCCCTTAATTCTCTGAAGTTCCACTTTTTCCACAAAATTTAGCTCTAAGTAAATACAATTGGAATTTTTTTCAACTGTACCTAGTAAAACCATAGCTCAAGGTCTTAAAAACAGAGTAAGTAATTTGTCATAAACATTTCTATAGAAGAAATTTACTTCTGAAATTAATTCTCATTTATTCTCTTCCAGCAACATAGAGTTGTAGCAGGAAAAGCTTTAGGTGGATCCACAGCTTTAAATTTTTACTTATTTGTACGTGGAAACAAAAGGGATTACGACAATTGGGCAAAAAATGGTGCCACAGGTTGGAGTTGGGATAAAGTTTTTCCTTATTTTTTAAAAGTTGAAGACAATAGAGATTATCATATAGTACGCAATGGTAAATCTTTCTTCTAATTCTTACTTTATTTGTATAATATAAATCTATAAAACAAAAATAATTTAATAAGAATAATATACAACACAGGCTATCGCGGTATTGATGGAAATGTTGTTATACAGACACCACCATTTCATGCACCAGTAACAGAAGGATTTTTAAAAGCAGCCAAAGAAATTGGATTTGGTATTGGAGACTTTAATGCAGAGCCTCAGACAGGTAAGATATTTTATAACAATCGTTATTAAATTTATTATCCACTGTAAATCAAGTGTATAAAAAGATAAAACAAATATATATAATATATAAAACGTTTTAGTGTTTCAACCACAACAGGGAATCATTAATAGAGGAGCACGTTGGGGTACACTTCAAGCATATATTAATCCAGTGCGTGGTAGAAGAAATCTGTGGATCCTAACTTCAGCATTCGTTTACAAGTTATCTCATCTTGTCTTATCTTAGTGGATAAAAAACAAGAAAAGTAAATAGATATTTATATTTATAGATATTGATTTACGACAAACATGCTTATGGAGTTAAGTTCGAGCACCACGGAGAGTTGTACGAAGCTTATGCCAAACAAGAAGTGATCGTATCTGCTGGGGTATTAAATTCTCCAAAACTCTTAATGCTATCAGGAATTGGACCAAAGAATACTTTAGAGAAGTTCAATGTAATAAATATCTTATTTTTAATTCTTTTCACCTCTACAAATAAATATAAACAATGTATTAGAATCCTATTGTAGCGGATTTACCAGTTGGAAGACATCTTCAAGAACAATTATCGACATTTAATATGGTATTTGGTGCAAAAACTTTCACTTATTCTTCACAACGGCTTACAGTAGCACATTATAATGAATTCTTAGTCAATGGCACAGGTAGAAATAAAATGAAAATGTTTAATTTAATTCTGAATATCTTCAAGTATATTAATTTATAGGTTACTTGTAAAGACAATATTCAAATTTATAACTGTTTATAAAGTTTTCTTGTATTGTACAAGATTAATGCAGTCATATTTTTCCTTATACAGTAAAAGTTTATTGATTTAAATTTATTAATTGTTGTCTTTTTTAGGTCCACTAACATCTTTAGGAGAAATTGACACAATTGGATTTGTAAATTCTAAATATAATAAGGATCCTGATTGGCCAGATATTGAATTATTATAGTTTTCTTTATCAGTGGCATCGGATAATGGAGTTTTAGATACTTAGGCAACCAAAAAGATGTGGTAAGTTTATTTTATATCTGTGTTTTACGAATTTTTTACAAAAAATAAAGCATTTTTATTATGTATGTAAAAAAGTCACTCTAAAAACCATTGCATCTCATAATTATTGAGTAAAAATACTATTTAGCAGATATACGTCCACTGAAAAATGTTTCCCGTTCAGTGAAGCTGTATTGAAAAAGGGAACAGAGATGTCGTCATACACGCGTATTCCTCTGTTTACGAATTACCTGTGTACGTATTCTTTGAATACGTGACGTCATTCTTATACCCCTGGCAAAAGCAATTGTCATTTCATTCGTTTAATGTTTTTATGACATTACTCATTAACACAGGAAAGTATTGTAATCGTGTCATGGCTGACCTTCCGGTGTTTTGCTCATGACAACGTTTTATGACCTCCTGAACCTAAAATAACCAAAGAAAGGGAAAAGAATTTCGTGGGTGTGTATGAGTGCCTGCTGGCATCTATTTCGTTTAATATCTCAGAATAGGATAGAATTAATAAACGAAATTTGGCATGGTAACTTGTATATAAGAGGCATTCATATTATTCAAAATCGAAACTCGTGGGAAGAGAGGTCATAGGTCATATTTTGATTGGGGTAAGACTTGATGAAAATTTTACTGGTATGAGTTTTAAGTGGTTTTATCCGTTCGATCACAGATACGCGCTCTTAGAGAGGATGATAAATTTATATAGGCCTATATATAAATAATACATACAAAAGAGTTAATATTATATTTGGAAAGAATGATACCAAGCAGGCTATTGAATAACGTAAAGAACAAGCTCATTTTTGATCATAATTAAGCCCATTTTCCTTAGGTGTAACCGAAAATGGTTCGATCATTATGGAGGAAGTAGAAAAGCAGTACGAAATGCTATTTAAAGATATTGCTTCGAGTGTTTATATCATTTGTATATATATATAAAGTATGAAGCAGTAATAAACATGGTTATAAATTGAGAATGAAAACAAAATTTTGAGGATTAACCGTCTAAAATTTATTCAAATGCATTCGTTTTATAATTGTTCCATTAATATTTAAGATATTAAATTTATGTAAATTTGTTTATATTTTTTACGTATGGAAGACGATGTTCGAACCCTTTACATCAATTGACACAATATCGTGTTTTCCACATCCAACGCATCCAAAAAGTCATGGGGATCCGTCATGGGGATTCGTCATGGGGATCGCTGTTAACTTTATCACTTGAAAATCAATATAAAGGCGACAAGAAGGCATTAACCTGTATTTATTAATCGATTTTTCATATTAATCACGTTCTGGTGTTTCGCTGATCGCAGGTAAAACAAATAACAAGCTACTGATCGTATACATGTTCTGTACAGTATATCATTCTCTTTCCGTTGAATACATTGAGAAGTGTAAACACGAAAATCTCACGTGTATGCCCACAGTGGAGTGTCGGATTGGCTAGTGACGGGCTATGAAGGCTCTATTGTATTTAAAACATAAATATAATGAATGATTATATTTCAAATGTGTTGAACACGTCTTGCAGCGTGTTCAACAGTAGCCCAATAGGTTTCTTGAGGAATTGCAGCAACGTGGCGCGTTATGCTTGCTTTCAATTCAGGTAGGGTCTGTATGCCTCTTCTATAGACACGATGTTTGAGTTATCCCCACAACAAAAACTCACAGGGATTCAAGTCTGGAGAACGAGGAGGCCAAGCATTTGGAAAACTTCTCGAAATTATCCAATCATCTCCAAATTTTTCTTGAAGCAGTTTCTTCACTTGTCGTGATGTGTTGCCTCATCTTGCATGAAGAAATTAGTCTAAATCTCTAAACATCCTTGTTCTTGTAAAGCAGGAATGACGTGACGCAGTAACACGCACCCGTCACGGAACATCTTTTAGGACCTTCAGGTATGATTTCAAAGAAAACGGGGCCAAGAATGAAGTCAGAATTGAAACCATACCAAACGGTAATGTAAGCAGAGTGCAGAGGCTGTTCATGAACATGAGGTCTTACAGTACCCCATATGCGACAGTTCTGATTATTCACTGTTCTGTCTAGGATGAAATGCATCTCGCCTGACCACAAAATGTTTCATGGCCATGCATTGTCAACGGCTGTTCTGGCCAAAAACCGGCAAGCAAACTCTGTGCGTTGTTCTGGATCTTGACAGTGCAGCTTTTGCAACACGCGGATCTTGTACGGATACCACTGTGAAATGGATTTCATAATTTTTCGAACCGTGGACCAAGGAAGAGACAAATCACATGACACCACACGAACACTTGCCGAAGAACATTGGGAAGCGTTTGCTCTATCAATCGCAGCAACGGCGACTTGCTCCTCAATTTCATTTGAAATCCTTTTCCGACTTCTTCCTGGCAATACACCTAACTCTCCAGTATCTTCAAATTTGGTAATCATCTTTCTCAAACCATACCTCGACATAGGCCCTATTTGCAAACCTTTCAAGAGTCGATTTTCTTGCAGTGCAGCCGAATCATTACTGTCGTTCATGGCTTTTTAAAAGGTTCCTAATTTGTATAGCATCCGCTGCATGCGCCATTTTTCACCTAGTGGTAGAAATTTGAACTAAATATATTTTTTTCATCTTCCTTTTCTCCATGGTCCATATAACGTATATACCAAGTTTCATTAAGATTATTACTCGACCTCTCAGCACCCTTCATATTATATAGCCACAGCCCACGAGCCTCCATTGATCCAAGCTATCGTATATCATAAACTGTACAGTATTATTAAATAACAATAAAAATTTTACGTATAACGTTAAAGATCTGCGAAATTGCAATGAATGTAGCTGAAAAAAGAAACTTTATATTCCATTCGAATCATTTAAATAAATCTGTCACTAAAATTTATATAAAAGTTTAGGACAATTTTAATATAGACAAATTAGTTGTGTTTCAAATTGTAAGTTAGACTATGTAAAAAAAAGCTGGCCACGTTGTTGCTGGACTTCCCCTCTATTCTTTGTTTTAATACCTAATAATTGACACCAATTATTTTTAAATTCTCTGATTAATTCGGAAAATATTAAGGGTGTGGTGCCATCTCTCAACACAATGGTCCTATTATCCTGAAAATTTCTAGAAATATATCTCCCTAACATACAAACTTACCTGCAAAATTTAAGAAATTTTTGACAGAAGTAACATGAGTTATTAAGCTTTAAATCGGTAATAAAAATTCGTGCTCCCCACACACACAAACATCCCTAATATTTTTGTATTTCTCGAGGTTTTAAGGTCCTCTTAGACCAAAAATATATAAAACTTGGAATCACTTTTAACATTAATTATTATTAAATTATTTTCTTTATTTAACAGTTTATATTAATTTACACATAGACTAATGAATAAAGAATACAGTAGGATTATGTGTTGTATTGTTTACTGTAAGAGAAAGGAGGAATACAAATAAACAAGAATAAAACGCAAAACTAGTTTGAAGTATAAGGAAGTATATACAGTAATAAAGTATTTTCTCTCTTATATTTTTAATTGTAGAAGAAATTCTAGAAAGTTTAATTAGTATTTTGAAAATTAAATCGAAATTCTTGTAACGTAACAGGTATTACTTGATACCTATTACAATAGACATAGTAGCTAGTTAATGATTCTATTACATAGTCTATTATAATGGATCCAATTAATGAATACCTTAAAGTTTAAAGTAATATAAGCAATTAGTAATGACGTTATTAATCTCTGCCAGATATATTTAATACGTAGCTCTGTGTTAAACTGTATTGTACTATTGTTTACGGCCTTCGTCTATAATAAATGCATGAATAGATGTCACGTATACAATACAAATTAAAAAATAAACATTGACGTAGCAGGAAAATTTATCTTAGAAGGTTTTATATTATATTCAAGTTTATTTAGTGTGTTAAAATTGAAATTAGGTTATAATTATCAGTATTATTTAAAGTGGGAGAATAGAAGAATAATTGTCAAATTTTAAGATTGTATTTAACATGTTATTTTCTCGTATTATATTGTTTCATATTTTATAGTTTCTATTATGACGTTTCAGAGATATAAATTTATAATAAGATAAATATAATAGTTGAACTGTTAGAGCCGATATATAAAAATTCTAATTTAGAGATAACAATAAGAGATTACAGGCACGATGTGGTAATTATTTGCGGTTAATTGCGAAACAAGCAAGCTCATTAACTTGCGATTTAACATGTTATTTATTTTAAATTATGAATTATGTAACTGCATAACTTGTTTATAATTCTCTTACATTCGGTATGGGAAGACGACGGATTTATAATAGATAAAAAGCGTTTAAACAAATTTATAATTCAGTTTTGTACTATTAAAACTATTACTTTTAGTTGTATATGAAAGGTCAAAGGGCATCACTATGGAAAATTTGTATTTAGTGGAGTAGGCCTATTAAAGAACCAGAATCTTGTGAGTTCATCTTGCTCTTTTCTGTAATAAATTGAATTATTATAGATTATATTTAGCTCCACAATACTATTTTGTAATCATTAAAATCACTCGAATATTTCTAAACTTACGACCATAGGAAAAGTATTGATTCGGTATTAACAGTTGTCATTATAAATCGATATTAATGTATTCTAATTGAATATTCAAGAACATAATGCTTCTGATAGTTATGCTAAATAATATATAATTATCTATTCGTAGCATATACCTGGACAGGAAAGGCAACAACATCTATAAGCTTTAACAGATGAAAAGATACACTTTTATTCACGAGTCAAGGTTTTATTGTTAATTAACTGAACCTGAGACTTATTAACTATGCCTTTTGTGTCCTTTAATAGTAGAATTTGGATCCTAGATTTAAATATTTATTAATAATTATAATGATCTGAACTCCTTTTTATCGAGGTCAATGGGTCTATATATAAAAAACAGTAAACAGCCTCTTGTTTACAGCATCCTATTTAATACCTGGTATTAATGTTATAGTATAATTGTATAAATGACATCTTTAAGTATTATATTCTTCTGTTATTTAGATATTATACTGCAAAAAAGTATATATACAGATGCAAACGACAATTTACAAGCTTGTGAGAAGTTGGGATTCAATTTAAGGTAGTAGCGGGGGGCCTAGAGGACCATTACTTTTAAATAAACAGAGGAAAAAGGTATTAAATAAGTGTATAAAGTAGATTTACATGCGATATATATAATTATACATATATATATGTAATATGCTTATATATATCCACACTAGTATAGGGTTGAATGTAAGTTTTCACGTTCAAATTCGGGCCTCCCTAAGATCGGTTACAGTTACACTATAATTAAATAAAAATAAAAGCAGGAGAATTACCAGAGTGAACAATAAAATTATTTAAATAACTGTTTTATATCAATACAATTAATTTTTTAAGTGAAAATATATTAAAATTTAAAATGGCACAACATTTTAGTATGCATACAATTAACTATAATTAAGAATTTCAATTAAATATTTAAATTGAACATTATAAAATGAATTTATTTTGTACTGTAAATTGATTTTTATTCAAGGATAGAATTTATTCTTGAATTTATCCTTGGGTAACGTTACTTCCTTGTATAGAAAAAATAATAATAAAATTTACAAATCGAAAATTCCCTTACAGAACAATAGGAATTATATTCTTTCAAATAAATTAATTTTATGATAAAAGTGAGGACATATTGGCTGTTAACATAAAAAAAACAAATTTGTATTATTTGTTTTCTAAGAAGAATTAAATTATAATTTATTATTTTTTCCTCTATTTCCGTGAATGTCGTGCATTGTTATGTTTAAATAACACGCATGATAAATTTATTGATAAAAATTATAATAATTAGTAAAATTATAGACTATTATCAGTATTAGATTCTTAAATTTTAAGGTATTTGGTGTTTACAAGTGTATAAACAATAGACATTCTATTTTATTTATATAGATTATACACTGTTTAGCTTGCTTATAACAGGTATTTTATACGAAACAAATCATTTAAACGATTGGAAAATTGATATTAAAGACAACAAAGGCTAAAATTTACATTACAAAAAGCATACTAGGTGTATATATTTGCTAAGGTGTATATTATCCTGTCACTGATATCAAAGTGGAATGAAGTCTTGAGGTTATTTTTCTTAGATTGTAAGCTGTTTTAAACAAAATTATGATGTTCAATGTCCTTTCTGACACCCTAAACAATACATGTGTGACAAGGCTATCTGAAAGTAGCACAGTTTGGATGTATCAAATCTTCTAAGTATTACTACAATGAATTATGTTAGATATTTAATGTGTAAGTCTTAATTATTAACTGAAAATCACTAATCTACAAAGAATTTTTATATATTAAAACCTCATTAGCGTTTATTCAATTATCTAGTTTCGGTTTATTTATTGTTTATATAGACGACCTTTGAAGTTTTCCTCTATTTTGACCTTCAGAAAGACTAGTTCGAATTTGTTATTCAAGCATTCCTACCTATCAATTCAATTTATGAAACTTTCCAGTAAATTATAGCCTAAGCTTTAAGTTAAAGTTTAATTATATGCCATGATATCACCAGACATTCCGGTCAATGATGTGTTATATAAATACTTGCATATATAGATACTAGATATTTATAGATACGTGATCTGTGGTGAATAATGGTCTAAGGAAAAGTCTGAAAAAATAACCCCAGGACATCATTCTCTTTTGATATTAATGACAGAATAATGCGTACATGTAAAACGATATTTTATATAGAATTATTATGTCTTCTGTCTATTAAAATTTTTGATGTAAACAACAATTAAAATGCTTTTCATAATTGATATTGTTATCTTTTATCTATTGATACAACAGTAAAGGAAAGGAGCAGGAAAAACAGATCTTTATAGTTTTGTGTAGTTTCTAAGCAATTGCTTGGGGCCACCACCAACATGGGGCCCCAAACAAGTTTCTTTATAAGATAATATTTTCTCAAAATATTCCATGAACTCAACACTGTTACTAGGGTCCTCTAATTCTCATTTTCCTGAGTCCCACGAAGCTGTAAAGCTCCATTGTTTCTATGTGTCTCTATGTATGTGTAACAAAACTGTAAAAATATAATTTAAATCAAAGTTTTAGATGTATGACAGAACAAAAGTTTGAACCATGAGAATTGTGAGAGGGTCAAACGGGGCACTTGTCCCCAGGGATCGAGTAAAAAATTTCATAAATTATAATCGTAAAAGTGATTGAGATACGTCACATTAAACCCTTGACTAAGCTTTGATGTAATACTGTACTGTATTGTTTAATTTACTTGTAAAAATACCCCAAAAATTAAATAACAGAATAACACCCCCCCTGGAAAATTCCCTGCGGATGCCCACATTTGGACTATTCTCTTCTCAACAATCACAATCAAGGATCAAGAGTTGAAAGTTAGGCGTTAATCAATATACATTCACGTACTAAAAGTATGGTGAATAGCGATTGGTCCTTCTTGATCCTTATTTGTGAATGTAGCCATTGAACTCTCAGCATGCCTTGCATTTTTCTCAAATTAAAAGAAACTGGTAATAATTAGGTCAATCAATAAATAACCTTCAATTAGTTTTTTTATATTAAAAAATAATTTAACGTAATAAATTATTTATGTCCATAGAGCTTATAATTATGAGATTTAACGCAGTCATTTAGAACTTTTATAATGGAATTCAATTCATTCCGTGGTTTTATTTATAGTTTAGCTCAAGACCGACACAGAAATCGATATTTTGGACCTCAGCGGTGCCCGAACCTTCAAAATTTCTAAGAAAATTTGATAAAAAAATTCTTTCTTAAATATTTTGTGGCCCCACTATTAAATTCTTTCCAAGGCCCCTCAAAACTTCTAGCTGGCTTTGATGCAATTTAAATGTTTATAGGCTATAACTATTACCTGTTTAAACTAATTTAATTTCGACTTTTAACATTTTTAGAGTATTTTATAGAATTCTAACAATATATTTTAATAATAATAAGATATAAATTACATTAATGGAGTCATTTTCTAAGAATAATTCGTTTTTGGTTTAATGAGGGAAATTTATTAGCGTAATAACGTAATAAAACAGAATTTCCATTAGTTATTTTTGATTTAATATAGAAGGAAATAATTGTTATTGATAACATATAAAATTTCTTATTGCTTAATTTTAATTAACGAATTTAGACTGATCAACCCACGAAGGCAATGGATTAGATTAGATTTTGGCAGGGGTAAAGATGCAGCATGTGACTGGTCAGCATAGCTTTCTACCCCTCTACCACTAAGATATGTCAACCAGATGATACTTGACTCATGCCAATGATTAGTAAAGTAGTTCAACGCCTTCTACAGGCCCCTTAATTTTTTTCTGGGTCCGAAGAAAATATCTACCGCTCCCTCTCGAAGGCCCTAAACCGATGTATTTATCCATTATCGACTGAAAAGCTTGTATATTTTTCAAGAGTGTTCTGTCTCAGATATGTCGAGCCTCGTCTCTCATTAGACACACGATGGGCAGTTGGAGTACCAAATGTGGGTACTGGCCAAATCCATTGATGGTTATAACAGAAAGGCTCTCCAAATGATCACAAGGCATTAGTAAAAATAATAAACTCGAATAATTAATACAGTGATGATTGTCTTTGAAAATTAAAGCACAATCAACACAGCGAAATTAAGCTAATGCTTTAAATTAACAATGAAAATATAGGTTGATTCAGGGGGAATCATCTGCAATATTCCGAGAAAAATAGTATGGATGATTATTGCACGTAGTGTATATAAAATTAGAAAAAAAAAGCTAGGATAGGAATGCCATACAGTAAAGTATTATTCGAAAAGTGCTGTAACGATTCAGGATACAACGTGTATTTAAAAATTTCAACACATATAATTACCCATATACTGTAAATTTCATCCAATCCCTTAAGCCATCATCTCCCGACGAAATATTGCAGAAACCTCCTGAATCACCCTAATATATTGGAGTTAAATTAAATGACAATTACCATTAATTCTGTCTTGAGTTAAAATAGGAAAAACTAATTAAAAAACTGCGCAATAACGACTAATATAACAGATAATTTATTTCTTAATTAATAAATTTAGTACGCTTACAACGCATTCATAATATTTCGATACAAGATGCTTGTATACAGTATTATGATGTTTACGGTAATAAAAATTAATCTAAAATAATTTAACCTTGAAACATTGCGAAAGGAATAAATAATTTTGAACATTTTATCAGTTTATTAAGATAATTTTTAATCGATTTCGATTCTGATTATTACTTTATTAATCGATTTCTATTAAATCGATTAATAAATTAATAAATAAATCGATTATTACTTTATTAATCGATTTAAATCGAAATCGATTAATAAAATAATTATTTTGGAAATCAATCGAAATGGAAATCAAAATAATCGATTAATAATCGATTTCGATAAAAAAATCGAATTAACAAATCGATTAATTTTAAAAATGTAAAATTAAATTTAGCCTTTGTTACGATTAAATGCGACGTATAAACANTTGATTTTTCCGTTTTATATGAATTCCATGTTGTACGAGTCACTTAGATTTTACAAATATGTGTGCCGGGCTCTCAACGGCTCATTATTTGTAAAATCTAAGTGACTCGTACAACATGGAATTCATATAAAATGGAAAAATCAACAGTGTTATAGGAGAGTCGACTTGTACATAGAAATTAACAAATGTATAAGAATGTGATAAAATTAAAACTATAAATATTAATTAACACATAAAATAAACATGTTGATTTATTAAAAATATATCGCCAGATTTAATTATAGATGTAGTTAGATAAATAAACCTTCTTTTATTTCTGTTAATAAACTTATGGTTTCATCGTTCCATTTCCCTCCCCCATCATTCTTACTTTAAATGCTGATACAATTTAGACATGACAGCTGAAAATTAATTAATTCTGATATATTTGCCTTGAGAAAAGGTTGATCTAATAGTATTGTTGCTCCTACATACATTTATTTTTCTCGAATACTTCCTCATTCCAGGGTTTTCCACTTCTATAAAGTGACTTCTACTAATCATCTCTATTATATTTTACCTATTTGAAAACTTATTTCATTAAGTTTAAAACGAATTAAACTTTAAAAAAATGCGAAAATTATCCGGATAAAAACTCAAAAAACAAAAATTCTTGTGGTGTTTTCATCTCACTTCTACCGAATGAATTGAAAAAAACGCGTATTTTAATTGAGGAAATAAAGCAAATAAAACTGAAGGTAAGATTTCTGAAATGTTTCTGACAGAGACGTGTTTATAATGCAAAATCAAATAATTAATTAATTTCTATTATTTCTGACTTCAAGAAAATAAAAAATATTTTCGAATTTATAAGATCTCTAATTAACTTCGTAATACAAGCCTTTGAACAATGGCCACAATGGAGGCTGTCTAGCGGTAAGGACGGAGTGAGGGTTTATAAGTTATCTCTAGATTATTTAATCTAATATAAATGCTAAGTAAATAGTTATTATACTGTATTTTTTAGAGACAAGCATGACAAGCGAAATAGTTTGTAAACAATCAGTACACACTGAAATTATTTATCTCAGGCTTAAATTACAGAGGAATAATGCCATAAAAACAATAAAGGGATTCATAAAAGATTAAGAACAAATAAAATCGATAAAAGTAAGAATTTCTTCTATACAAATTAGTATTTTTACAGGAAAATTTGTAACTTTTAATACCGTAAACCTTCACACGTGCTTTCTGAAATGTATAAAAATACAATCAAATTGAAACATTTAATGTGTAAAAAGATTTATATTACACATGAGCGATCTCCTAAAGAAAGTGTGCAACTCGAAGGACTTTCTATGATGGAGGAACTGGTCCCTATTTACCTATTGGAGACGTGAGGAAACAAATCATAATTCCGCCTCCTCTTATGTGAGTACTCGATACAGAAAAATAATTCAAAGTCTTGATTAAATGTCTTAAATCAAACTCGGTCATAGTGGCCGCTTACCACACTACAGTCGACCCCCTATAACACTGTTGATTATTCCGTTTTATATGAATTCCATGTTGTACGAGTCACTTAAATTTTACAAATACGTGAGCCGTTCAGAGCCCGGCACACGTACTATTCTTAATTTTAATTAAAATTAATTTCGGCTCGAAATATTAGGAAATAAATAACAAACCTCTAAGTGTTTATTTAGGATAGAAATTTTTAATTTTAATAAAATCCATTAAAATTTATTTAAAAATCGAATTTATATAACGAATTGTTAGATCGATTATATTTTAAAAAGTAGAATTGGATTTATTAATAGAACTTAAGTGCAAAACAAACTTACCTTGAAATGTGAGTAGCATTTGCTATGATGAAATGAGTGAAACTAGTTAGAAGATTTCGGTGAGAGGCAACATAACTCTTAGTTTATCAGCTCCCATCTACATCTTACTCTTTCATATTTTTATTATTGCTTTTTAAAGTTAGAAAGGTAAGAAAAATATATATATATATTTTATAGTAATATATATGTTATTTGGGAGAATAATTTAAAAATTTCTAGGATCGATAGGAATAAAACAAGTAAAATTAAATGAAAGATTTATCTTTCTAACTAAAGTTAGAAAAGAAATTATTATATATTCGCATTAAAACTTAAAATTCTTACATATAATTTGTTATAAATGTATTTAAATTAAGAAGTATTACGTTACTAAAATTGCTTTAACGCAATTGTATTTATTGATACGTCATTTGTCAATAAGGAAGTTTATAACAATTAGCACGTTTTTCATATTTATGACGAGTGTGAAATTTTACGCTTAAGTCAGACAATTCATTTTTAATAAACTCGTTTATTTAGTAGACAGGATATAAATTCATTTATAGTAGTAACTAATGTAGTGTTCGAGTGGATAAAACCAACGAGTAGTTGGTTAGGAGTTTTCCCCTCAACAAGATGAAGTATTTTTGGTTTTCTTCACGTGTCTAACACCTAAATAGGGGCCAATTTTCCATAGAAAGTCCTCCAGAAAACACCCTCTTCTTTGACAGATCGTTCATGTGTTGAGTTGCCTTATTCCATAACTCTACTTCAGTATTAATTAAAATTATATTAATATTAGTAAAATCAAAATAGATCATCTGTTTCCTCACCATTAGCCTCCTCTATTGTGGATCGGGCCGTCTCACGAATGGCCCCAGAGAAGGTCCTCACTGCCATATGCCAAAAGGAGTAAACATAATATTAAAATAAATTATAATAACATCAAATAGTGTCACGTACTGTGTATAAGATTCAATTTTTACGTACCATTGTTAAGTTTAACAGGATGTGTCAAGGAGTTACATATATTTTATGCAGGGTTACAAAGAGAAGTTATAAAAAGTTCATGCAGATCTGTCGTAAGGTTTAGATGTATATAAAGAACAGATAGATGACAGAGGAAGACATTCTATTTTATGTATACAAGTCGACCCCCTTATAACACTGTTGATTTTTCCGTTTTATATGAATTCCATGTTGTACGAGTCACTTAGATTTTACAAATATGTGTGCCGGGCTCTCAACGGCTCATTATTTGTAAAATCTAAGTGACTCGTACAACATGGAATTCATATAAAATGGAAAAATCAACAGTGTTATAGGAGAGTCGACTTGTACATAGAAATTAACAAATGTATAAGAATGTGATAAAATTAAAACTATAAATATTAATTCCCTCAGCACATGAAAACTACACATAAAACTGAACACAGATTTTTACAGTCTTTTAGTATCAATTATTGTTATTGAAAGAACATGAATAAAATGAACAGTAATAATGAAATGTTTTAGCAATAAACAGATGTGATAAGTTTAAGATTGAATAAGTAAAATTTCAGATTTTAATATTAATTTATAAGAAACCTAAACTATCTGAAATCCAGTAAAGATTCCTTCTGTAAGTAGATGTATTTTATAATTCTAAAGATGAAAAAAACAAATTGCTAAATGATTGATTTGAATAATTGCACCTTTTCTGTCTTTAGATAATTTAATATTGTTATGACCTGGAAATACTTAAGTCTAAGTATTTCCAGGTCATAAGCCATAAAAATTTACTACATTAATTATGCAAATTGCCTATGGTTCTGTCTAGTAATTTGGAGAATGTAAAATAATGCATAAAATAGAAGCAGTGTGTCAATATTTTAATATTGTTATTTTTTCAAGTGTGTGCAGGATTTTGTATGTGATATTTTTAAGTAACAGTTTTAAGAAAAAATTTTTGTTTTATATCTTTGTTTTACTTATCTATATTGATTGCACAGTATCAATATTAAGTTAAATTATTCATATTATCAGATGTCACACAATAAATTTACTATATTTATTTGCATATAAGACAAGGTGTGACTTTAAATAAAGATCAAAATAAAGAAAATTAGATTTATTAATACAATTCTAATTTTGTATCAAATGCATGTAAATGCACACACTGTCCCACAAAAATTACTGGCATTTTAAAAAATTTAAGGAAAAATCTTGTAAAATCAACAACACAATTTCTTCATGTAGAGCTGGATAATCAAGAATCTTTTTTGTCAATTCTTAACAGTCGAATCCACTCTCGTTGATTACACTTATGAGCTTCTCTGAATTTTGATTTCTGAATAATCATCTGTTTTCACCTGCAAATAAATTTAAACTTATATCGTGCTCCCGTGTGATTTTGGAATTTAATTCAAAAGCTTTGCTTTTCCTATTGCTATTCATCTTTAGTCTTGACAATACACGAATGATTCAAATGACCCAGATAAAATACCTTTGTTTTTAAACACCATACGTTGAGCATATGGTAAAAAAATGCAAATATATGGTTCACAAAAATTTTTGCAAAAACACAAAGAATCCTTTGCTCATGTGTATAGGACAATCTAGATTTTTGAAGCAGTGAAAAATGAATAAAAACCTCATCTTATATGCGAGTAAATATGGTATTCTTTCATTTAACAGTAATGTAACTTACCAGATCATATTACAAGAATAAAACATCCAGTCTTTTAAATTTTTCTAATGTGATACATTTTTAAAGAATAAATAAAACTTGTAATATTTATATCATTTTAGGAATACAGTTGAATAAGAAAGTTACTTTTTTAAGTACAGCAGTCATAGTTGGTTTGTTACAGCACAGAATTAAAGTAGGAGTTAACTGTATTAATGCACCTGTTTTGGCAAAAGAAGCTGGTATTGAGGTAAAAATATGTAACATTTTGAAAACTTATTTCATTAGTTGCAAGTTAATTAAATATTAGTAGAAAAGTTTTCAAAGTATAAACATTATATTTTATTATATTTATTTAATGTATAGCTACAACAGAAACATGAAGATGTCTGTTTGAGAAGAAATGTTGATTCAGCTCTAGTAGTAAATATAGCTGCTGGAGAAAAAAGGCATGAAATTGTTGGATTAATTGCTGGTGACAAGGCATTTCTAGGCAGTCTTGATGGGGCTGATTTCTTTCCCCATGTGGAATTAAATGGAAAGCTTCTGTTATGTAGAAGTGACAACAGTTCTGTAACATTCCCCAAACTGATAGGTGAGATATTAGTCATATAATTAAATTCCATGTAATTTTGAACATTTAGGGTTCCTTATTAATTTTATAAATATTTTAAAACTTAAGGCAAGTAATAAAATGGTATTCACTAATAATTTAATCTTCTCAGTAATATTTTAATTACAATTACTATGTTTTCAACAGGTTTATTTAATCCACAAGACATTCAGTCAATATGGTGTTCCAGTATGGTTAACAACAGAGTTTGGTATGTGTTTAATGTGAATAAGGATGATTCATATCAAAAAGCAATTAGTTCTCTAGTTGATTTCTGTGCATTTATTACATTATAAATAAAGGCACTGACAACATAATGGGACCAATTTCTATTCATTCCATGTAAGAATATTCTTTTCTGATAAAACTGTATTACTGACAAGAAAATAAAATTTTTGTTTAATATTGCTTACTCTAATAATTAAATGTATTTTGAAACAATGTATTAACTGTAATTCAACACTGCATTATTATTCTATCATTGTAAATGATTAATAATTTAAGGATACTTAATTTTACAACTATAACAAGTTATGAACATATTTGCTATTAATTCTCTGTTTAAAAAAACAATTTCAACAGCAACATGTTCATGATTGTATAATTCATCATTGGCATAAAGTTAGAAATCATGAACATTTAGCTGTTTAGTCTTTTGTTTTCTTTTTTAACTTTTTCAACCCTGTGAACTAAGAGTTGCAGTTGCAAAGGCTATGCAGTTGAGTGAACTATGAGAAGAAATCAGAAAGTCTTTGCCAACTACAATTTTTCTTGAAAAATAAAAAAATAATTCCAAAATTTCAAAATATACATATGAGAAGGCAGTTTCTTATGTGTCACCTCAACAATTTCCAACACTGTCTGGTAAGATGCAGTGGAAATATGGACATCAAAAATGGCAGATCAACTGTGTTCGTCCAGTATTTTTCCCTACACAGAAGTGTGATTCAATTTTTGTTAGCATCTGGCAAGAATACAAGCAAAATTCATCAAGAAAGGAGTGCAATGTAGGGGAAAATTGTCTATTGCTGCAAGATGTGGGTTGTTGGAGTGAGTTTAGAAACAGAATGACAAGCATTCAAAATACCCAGATTAGGCCATTTTTTATCCTGCGCAATAATGTATTCAGAAATAAACTTCTCAACAGATGGTGCATCTAAGAGACCTACTAACACTTCCAATTTCTAATTTCCTCTTGTTGCTAATCGATGCTGTTGCGAGTGTGAATATTTCTAGTAGCTATTGTTTGTGATATTTTGAGATAAGTGCAAATTTATATCCTAAACATAAATGCAAAACAGCATATTGCATAATATATTGTGTTAATTTTATAGGTCAACCATCCAATGATCCCAACAGTGTTTTCTTGAGATTTGTGAGGAAAAATCTCAAGAAAATTTAAAAGATAAAATAGAATGAAACAATTGCTGTAAAAGATGAAATCCAGATAACTCTCTCAAAAATCATCATCTCCAAATCGTGTCGTCTTATAAAACCATGTCGTCTTATTTATTTTATTTATTAAGCACAATGGAGTGCAATTGATAGGACACGAGGCATGTCCTATCAATTGCACTTCATTGTGCTGAATAAATAAAATCTTTCAGAAACGTTAAAAAACAAAAGATAGATGAACCATCTTCTAATCTTTCCACAGAGGAAAGAAGCACCAAAGAACCAGTATATCTCTTGCAAAATAATGTAGCTGAAACATCACTCCATATTAATAATAGTAGAACAAAATATAAATTTAAAAAAAAGTAAAAAATGGTTGTTACATCCAAACAATAGTGAATCTAGAAAAAAAAAGTACAATGTTAGAACAGAATATTACAGCTAATATTTATCAAGATCAATCTCTTCTCATTTGATAGTGGATTACCATAAAGAAGTGTTTACCAAACTGTTAGATTATTTATACAACTGGAATAATTACAAGTAAATTTCAACTGAATAAAGGTCAGTTTATACTGACTTTGATGAAACTGAAAGGGATTTGTTAATAAAGATCTAAGTTTCCAATTTGGAATCAGTGAACCTACAGGTGAGGATATTTCAGGACTGGCTTAATTGTACTGTTGTACCATTTAATTGTATATATTGTACTAAAGAGTACAGTTAAACGGTCACAGAGGAATACAGTTAAAAAGCACTTGCCAGATATTTTCAATGACCCAAAATTTGAAAATATTAGATGTATCATTGACTTATTAAACCCTTCCAAATTTTTATATGCTTTAAAAACTTCTTTTGTGTTGATACAGTATGTAGTTTGTGTAAGATAAATCCAAATGTCTCAAAATCAATGTGTGGTCCAATTTTTAACTGTTTAAAAACATTATTTCTGACATATTTGTTTTTCTTGATACCTTAAATTTGTTTCAATATCCTATGAGTTAAAATTATTTTCAGGCATCATTCAGTTGTTAGTCATTTAACAACAACTAACCGGAAACACAAAACGGAAGTCTTTCATACAGAGCATGCACATGTTTTTGTTTATTCAAGGATACAGTCTATACAATTTGAATCTGGCATCTTGTGATTATCACTATTGTTATCTCCTTGAGGAGTTAGTAGATCACTGCTTTGAAAATGACATCAATGTGAAGACAGTAGTTCAAATGTGGCTGCATAAGCAACTGGACATGTTCTATGACAGTGGTATCCAAAAACTTTTGCCACAATGGGAGAAATATTTGGCTTGTTTTGGAAACTACATAGAAAAATAGGGTATGAACTGGACTTTTTTGAAATTCTGAAATAACAGTCAAATTTTGAGAAACAAACAATTAGCAAAGCCTTTTTGATTTCCCTTCATACTAAGACTATTTTTATCTGTTAAATTTTAGTTTGATCTTATATAATTATTAAAATTTTAAGATTATTATTATCTTATATTAATTATTATTATTATATAATTTCCATATATTTTGTTAAATGCAACTTTTACTAAGCATATATCAAAATGCTACTTTCAACTGAAAATCAAAATCACTTGCATTTAGGTTATCTTTAAGCATTAATTTTGTACTTATATATCTTTATTTTTTATATTGAATGTTGTTTAGGTCTTATTTTGTAAAAATGATTTCTTTTAAAATTTTTGATACATAATAATCATTTCAAGCTGGCTTTTTGCATTATTATTATTTTTTCATTAACACCTTTTTGGCAATGTTGTGTCCTATTATTTTTAATTTGTACACTTTTGCATTTATTGTATTACATAATTTCTAACAATTTTCAGCAGAAAACTTTGTATATAGGCTAATGTCTCAATAACATTTAATTTAGAGTAAAGATAGCAAAAGTTAAACTATAAAAAAAAAATATTTTATTTTTTCCCTTGTTTTAGAATCAGTTAACTGATAGTTACTTATTTAATTTCATGTATCCTATTATTACACATGTCCAAAACTTAAGGATAGACAACATTTGTACATGAATAGAGAGATGTATGAGAGAAGAATGAGAGAGAACTGTAGATGAATGCAGACAAATATGGTAATAACAATATTACTTGTCATCTGATACAGGGTAGTACACACAGCTTATAGGATTTTACAAATTAAAGCAATAAAAGTAAGTAGTCTTTGGTGAAAAGATACACGATGCACTTGGACATAGATGAAGAATGGCTGGAAAGTGCTTTCCAATACCCAGACAGACAGACCTGTCAGGATGGAATATGTCCAACTCAAACTACAATAGAGCACTCACAACAATATGGTAGGTTCATCACCAAGACTTTTCTAGCTATCACCATTAGCCAACTATGTTTATCCTTAAGTTTTGGACACAGGTAGAACGGGTTAATGTACCATTACATATACAGATTTTTGAAAATCACAATATTCTTATCAAAAAATTTTAATATTTCCTTTAACATTTGCATTATACATTGCATAATCTAGTAAGACTCAACAAAGTAAAACATTTTGAACATTTTTTTTTAGAATATAATATAAAACATAATAAATAAATTTAATCTAAATTTGTTATATACAACAATCTTAGTTTAAAGTAGTTTATATTAAAGTTTTATAAATAAATTGATATTTTGAGATTTTCTCCCCTTACAGAAATCTTAGAAATGAATAAAGAATATTTTATAACCCTGAGTACAGATTGCAAACGACAGTATACTGTAAATTGTTCTTTAAATCCAACTATTAAGATATCAAATGAAATATCAATAAGCATGAAAATTATAAACTTCACACTTAAAATACTGATTGTGGACTAGATGGGATTCATGAACTTTTAATTAGTTAAGAAACAAAAGAAAATAATTACCTTAACATTATTCTGTTTGATCTGTTAGTATTCAATACCAAATAATTCAGTCTTCCATTATCAATAATGGAAGATTGAGGTCAAATATCTTGTTCAATGCAATCATATTCTGACATATTTTCATTTTAAATCATAAAATTTAATGTTTTAGAACTTTTTCATTTTCTAAATCCAAATTACAAAAATAATTTAGAATTCTTGCTGTTTAAAATTTTGGAAACCAAAGGCAAAAAATAATTTGCCAAAATGTATATTTCACATAATAGCATCTTTTGGAAAGATTATTATTAATTAATTATAATTTCTGTGGAAAAAAAAATGAATAAAAATACTTCAGAAACACTCATCTCATTGTTACAAATGTTAATGAGAATTTGTAGGAAAAAATAATAAGATTTATTCTAGAATTGAAATTTACAGAGAATTTATTCAAATGGAACTCAGATTTGTAATGAGATCTAATACTCTTTTGCTCTGGAAAGTTGACCAGAATAAAATTTGATTGAATAAATTCATTCTGTTCAAGATTTTGACCTCTCTTAAAAATGCAGTCTCTTAGACGGCCAACTGTTACTCCATATTATCAATGACAGGCATAAAAATGTAAGTTTCTGTAGTTTGGTTTTTTCTTTTTCATATTAAATATAGGCAAACACTAATATATTTTCTAGGTTTGATGCATATTGGTATTTAATTAGTCCAATATTAACTAAATGGCATATACACCTAGATATATAAATAATACTGAAATAAAATATTGAATGCTAAGTTAATATATTCATTTCAATTAATTATTCATTCTATCAATTGAAAACGGATCATCATATGTCCATTCTTTTAAAAATGTCAAATAAAAAATTATTTGTTATGCTGCAAAATGCCACATTGCTATATTTTTTGTAAAAATTCCAAAAGTTCTACTTATTAATTTCTTTTTCTTCTTTAAAAGAGTGCATCATAGGAATTGCCATTATCAAACAACAAAATAAAAATATACAAAAAGTTCTGGTAAAAATAGTTTTGCTAAATGTTGAAAATATACTGCAAAATCAAAGCCAACAGATTTGGAATAAGGGTGATGTTAACAATGACTGATGAATCTTAGAGAATCTAATTCATTAATATATTGCAAAATTTAAAAAAACTAACACACATTTTTGAATATTCATTTTCTTGTAATGAGAGATAATTAATTAATTGCATTGAAAATTTTTAAAAATCTTCATACCTAGACAACCCCTTTCATTTTTAAGTAATTAACTCCATTTTCTTGACTGAGATCCAGTTCTATAATTTTTGTTCTATTTACATAGAAAAATGACTGGACCAGAGTAAACTTTGTCTGTGCAGACAAAGTATCTGTCATAAAATATTTTTTACAATAAATAAAAAAAATGCTTTAAATATATGAGATCATGTAGTTCAGCCTTTCATAGTTTACAATCTAAATTTTAGGATATAATGAAAATAGTATTTATAATACAAGTAAATTATATAATATTTTACACATGAAAGTTGTAATTTCTATGAATAAAGTTGTCATGTTTTAAAATATTTAAATACGTAATAAATTATCTCCTAAATGTTGCATATTTAACATTTCTTCTGAAACAACATTGAATTGTCAATAGAACAGGAAATGTGTGTGCACATTATAAAATACAAGCATCTGTAGCTTGAAACAAAGATGCTTTTCATATATAATTGTGAATGCTTTCTGGAATCATCCCATTAAAGAAAGCATCTAATTATATTATTAATTTGGTCATGGTGGAAGATGAATCTCTATTATATACAATATATGCCAAAAATTTTTTACAGATGTGACACCATGCGTTAATTATTTACATATTTTTAGTCACCAAAACAGTTGGTGAGATAAAACAAGTATGACTAGTATGGACGATAAAGTTCTCGAATCTGTTCCGTCCGTAACTAAGCTCTCTACAATGACCGATGTTAAGAAAGAAGAGAGTGGAACTTTGGTGAGTAGCGTTGGGCTTTTCTGTCGAAAAAGAGAATGTAATTTTTCGGCTTCTTTGGTGCACGCTTCGACTTGAAGCGCGGTGGCATTTCGCACGGTGGGAGAAACCAAGACAACGATGTTTGCTTCCTGCGTGGAATAAACGAAAACACCACATTCCGCCACATTGACGTGCTCCAGGAGAGTTTTTGCCACGGCGCTCAACCTGGACTGTTGTTCGTCTTTTATTGCACCAATTATTTGGTCGTAGATATTGTGGCTGAATAATAGTTGAAATGCCCCACCTACAAAATTATATTTAAAATTAATATAACATATATTCATTTATCATCATCATCATCAATCTTTATTAATAAATGGGAATAATTTCCCTGTTACGATCAATGTATAGAATAATTTTACATTTATGATTTACAACAATATTGTATTCATTACACATCTTTTTATTGTTTCCAGACTCAATCTTTTATTTCACGACATTTCTTATATTATTATAAGACTTGTACAAAGTTTATTTATTTATTTATTTTTAAATAATTCAATTCTTTTTTATCCCTTTACATTTTTTAAACAATTATTATTAAATATATTAGGTATTATTAACTAGAATTTTTATATTTTTCCATTATTTTAGTAAAATAATTATAAATTTCATATAAATTCTTTTTGTTAATATTATTTAAGTTTAATAAAAGATCAATTAACGAGTTACTTTGCAAATACGCGTTATTTCATATTGTTCACGTATAAAATATATTCATTTATTGGCTCGCTTAAGATAACAGATCAAAATTTTTATAATTATATTTGACCGATGATATTATAGATATTATAGCGTGTCCTCTATTTAAAAGTACTAAATGTACGGTAAAGAATTCGATATTTTCTTTTATCCCTCTTGTCTCCATTTAAAATATTAAATATTCAATGCAAAGTGTATAAGAACAAAATAGTCTTCTAATATAATTAGCATCATTGCAGCGCTACATTTTCTCCTGATGGTGAAAATTTCAATTAATTTTTCCCCTCGTAAATCTCTTCCAGTGATCTGCATTGCATACAGGTTACCCAGGGAAGAGAATTACGAGGTGTTAAGTATATGAAATTTTATGAAATACATGTAAAATTCAATGATAAAAATTTAAAAAATAAAATTTAAATATATTTTCCTTAACCTAATACGACTGAATTTTTTTAAAATAATAAACCTACCACAAACAGGACAGCATGATTCTGGAAGATATAAGGGATTGCAATGTCTGGAAGATAGTGGCTGACAACTTACATTACAACTTGTTTTTACTAAAAGAATAAAAATATGTTAATAATATATTGTCTCAGAGGTGTTATCCATAAATGATGTCATACCTCGTGGGAAGAGGAATAGTTCACAATGTGATAAGGGGGAGAGTGATACGTGACGTCATGTTTCACATTTACCATTAATCAGTAATATGCATGCTTTTTTAACATAATTTGTCACATTTAAAACATATTCCTTAAAAATTTAGTTTTGCACTTAAATAAGTTATTAACTTTTATGTAAGAACACTAAAAGATAGCAAAAATTAAATGTGCTGCACTGTACTGTATGTACAGTACATCATACTTATAATCTGTTTTGGCCATACTAAAATGATTGCTGATGCCTCAGAAATTCTACCAAAGTGATCATTTTCAAAGTTATAATCGACCAAGAACTAACTCTAATGAATAATATGTCAAGAGAAATTTTCTTCATTTTAGATTTAATCAATTGAAAGATTGTTGCTGAACTGAACGTTTTTTCTGTAATTTATGAATTCAGTGCTGCTAAAAACAGGAGAGCGGTTTGTGTGTAAATTTCTGTACACTTATGCACTGTACAATAAATTGGTAAACTTAATATTTTTATTAGTTTATTGTGTATTTTACTGTCTGTTTCTACATTTAAACGTTTCATATTATTGTAGATCAAAATAAATCTACTAGGTACTGTACAGTACTTATCTATTTTCATCGCTCTTTTGAAGAGCCTCAAAAATAATTTTTTTTCTAAGGTCCCACAAAACTCTGTTGTCGGAGTACGGAACCTGAGACCAAGCAGAGTATTTACAAGTTAGACTTATTTACAATGTTTACTGAAATCTCAAAACTTTAGTTTATTTTCAGACTACTACCAAAGAAAAGGAAATATAAAGAAGCAACGCTCAATAGTGTTATCTTGATCTCTCGGTGTGATGCTAAACTGTCAAATGCTATAGACAAAACGTCTTGATTAAGGCTGTCTTGTCTGATCTGGTGTGATGCCGGACTTACTCGTCCCATTGTGTCGATAATGAACACCTAACAAATCCTTGGGAATTAAATAACTTGCTAGCAATGTGTAGCAAAACTAAAATTTTGATTCATCTAATGCTATTGACATGTAATGTTTTATTTTGATAAAAGTGTAAATAAATAGTTTTAATATCCATTACGTAATTGACTCAGTGTATTTATGTAGCAATAATGCAGACTGTCGCCAGGGGTGACGACCAATGTAACACCATTTGTGAGGAGGAGCTTTGTCATAACGTGACAATAGATGTCATGGGGAGAAGGTTAAAATGTAGAATTTTAGTATGATATCATTTATGGATGATTTCACATATTTCCAAAATAAATTATAATATTTTACCATTAAGTTCTAATATGTTTTGATTATACAGTAATTGAATTCGGGCACACAACTGGCACTGAGAAACCATTTACTATGTTATATTTTTATCAACTTGGAATAAATAGGAAATGATTTTTGCAAATATTTCAAACACTCAATGAATTCATTAGCAGGGAGTCTGAATTATTTATTTTTATCGTCAATGTTTTGCCAAACGAATGTGTTTTTTGTAATTCTTCGCATTTTTTTACCGTGGTTACCGATCATTACATGTTGGCGTAACTTACTTGTTTTCTTTTAAACTCTAGCAAAGTTATGACCTGTCATGCTGCAGCCCGCAAATTACGCGCTGGAATTAAGTATTTAGCACGATTGTAAATAATCGATTAATCGACTGTTCAAAACAATCGACTAAATACACGTTTCTCAAACTTTTTGGGCCATGGTTCCCTTAAGTTGAGTATAAATCTCCGCGACTCCTTTGATTTAAAAATTGCCACAAAGAAAAACAAATTTTTTAACGGATTTTGAACGGGCATATTTTACACTTTAGTCTACGCTATCCGACACGAGATATGTGGTTAAAAAACAAAATAAACATAAATTAATAAGATTATGTTTCATTTGTAAATAAAATTATAAAACACATTTTAATCTGTAGTATTGTTTTGTAGCAGTTTCGTGGAACTTCTCCCACCCTGTAGTAAATCACCCAAAACGTGTGAACCCTTGGTCAGGTGTCGGGGTGACATAACGTACACCCATTATGTAAACACATTGTCCATCTGGTGACCACTTGCTCTGCTGCCTTCGAACTGATCAGATGTGAAAATAAAGATCTTTTTGTTACCGTTAATCTTATATGTGTAAGTCATTTATATTCTCCCAACAATCGGTTATGGGCCCAGGAAACCCAGGAAACTCAAAAAACGCAGAAAACGCTTAAGGAATAACTCACCCAAGTGATCTAAGTTTTTCGACTAAGGCTTCCGAAGAAGAAAGGTACTGAGACAACAAAAGAAAGATGGCCGAGAAAGCAAAAGGACTGAGCTCGATACCCAAGTTAAATGGATCGAACTACCTAATATGGAAATACGTAATAAAGAATCTGTTGGAAGGTCAAGATCTGATGCACGTACTCGAAAGACCCAGACCAGAAATTCCTGGAGAAACAGCCGCTCCGGAAGATAAGGCAGCCTATGACACATGGAGGAAGAAAAACAGCGAAGCTCTTAGAATCATCACATGCACAATGGAAGAACACCCGGTTAGTCTAATTTTGAATCTAAACGTTGCACGCGATGTTTGGGAAGACCTAGAACGGAGATACGAAGGTCGATTAGACACGAAGCGAAAAATGTGTCGATCAAAGCTCTCGAAATTAAAAATGGACAGGGACGAAAATTGGAAGGAATATATCAGAAGGGCTCGTGAACTAAATGAAGAAGCCAAAATGGTAAATTTAGGAATGGAAGAAACGGAATTGATAACTTTAATAACCGACGGACTGCCCCCTAAATACCATGATATCGCTTGAAAACTCGAAAGCATAAAGGACGCGACGATGAACGATCTAGAGTATGCCTTCCAAAAGGAAGAAGACAGAGCAAGCACCTCCCGATACAACGAACGCGAATCGGCTTTTCGTTCAAGATCCCAAAAGGGCAAATACGTAAAAGAGAAAGGATGTTTCACTTGTGGAAAATTCGGACACAAATCTTCAGCATGCTTGTACAATCCAGAAAACTCGCAGAAATACGAACAGAAGAACGACCGATATCGCAATCGCACGCATGACGTCGGAGCAAAAACTAGAAGAGAAAAATCAGAAACCAAAGTCAGATACGTCGATGCTAAGCCCCCGGAAAGAGCTTGGTTCACGCGAGACAAAGGAGCTAACAAAGAAGAAGAATGGGTTATCGACTCCGCTGCTACGTCACATATGACATCAAATAAAAACTGGATAAAAGATATGAACCCAGATACAAGAANCAGTTCTGTACCGCGATTTTATTATGTAGTATAAATGTAATATAAAACAAATATTGAATTTTTTTAATAAACATATTTTCACAAAATTGTGGAAATAAAATTGTAAAAAATAATAATAAAAAGCAGAAATTAACACTTTCAGCAAGAGCCGCGTGTAACTCAAAAAGAGCCGCATTTTCGCATGTCTGGTATAAATCTTGTTTCGGCAAGTATTATTTCACATCGTTCACACCAGTTTTCTTTTTCTTCGAAAGTTGCTGTCTTTAGAGTAAATTTTTGATTTTTACATTTTTCGCATTTCTGAAGAAGCGTGTTTGTGTACTCCCATGCTTCTTTTGTTCTTTGGCATTTGTATAAAAGATGTTCTGTTGTTTCTGTTTCGTTGCACACTTTGCACAGTGAATGGGGTTGAGATATTGTGACGAGAGTGGAGGAAGTTCTTCACTCAACTCCAAATCATTGTCTTCTAAACATGTGTGTAGAGCAGGAAAGTAGTAATTTACATCTTTATCATTCAACTTTTTCTCCACAATAGTAATTTCTTTTTGAATGTCGGTCATCGGTATTTGTTGTCAACGATAAATATCAACTCTTTAATTCTCTCAACATGCAGTCTTCTAAAAGCTGGGAAAATTCGAATATAGAATAATATACAACACAACATACGTAATTTTATGAGCCCTTACAAGAGACTAGGTTTTCTTATGACCCCATCTTGTGACACCTTCTACTAACCAACATTACACAGTACTAACCTTTAGTGCTCTCAGAGTGGAAAAAGACCTAAAACAAAACAAAAAAGGCTGGGAACATTGTTAAAAAAAAAAGTAGAGTTGATAGTTATACAGTTGATTGCCAACAACATGATGAAAGTTTTGATGAAACATTGGTTCAAACGACTTTCCAAATTTTTTGTGTGAAAATAAAATGAATGATAAAAGATCAACTTATATTCGGGTCTTACTATTTTTCAAAGGCAAGAACTCCAAAATTGGAGTCGATCTATATTCGGGCCAATACAGTATGCAAATACATACACGATATTCCTGAACGTTTGATGTTATGATTTAATCAAGTGACGAATTAACGAGCCCTATATTATCATTTTTTAATGGTAACAAGTGTAAAAGATACTTACATGAAAGAAATTGTGTTGCAGTACAGGAACCTTTGTAATCTACAGTTACATAATTTGCCAGAGCAGCACATTCGCTATTATAAGTCTCTCCGTCGTGACCACAAACGATACCTTTACTTTCACAATTTTTCTATTGCAATAAGACATTAAAATAGAGAATACTTTTGTGAAAATAATTTAGTATATGTATGAACATTTACATGTTTATTTATTCTAGTATTTTAATCTGATTGTATTTAAACAATGTAATTTAGTAATTACCTTGCAGTGTCCTAAATATGCTAAAGTTTTTCCTGCATTCAACATAAAGCATAAATTTGAGTGTTCGTTTCCTTCTGTATCGCACACGGTCAAATTTGCTTGCTTCGAACAATTTCGTATATTCACTGTAAAATATAATTGAAATATTAATAAGGGTTATTTGTAAGTAAACAATAAAAATAAATTGTTTTGAAAAATTAATGCTATGATCAAACTATACATTCATTCTTTCGTAACATTAGAACTAACATTTAAAAAATAGCAAAAGGATTTTGATAATTTTTTCTTATTATTTAACATGTTTATAAAATGAATATAGATAAGCTCTTTCCTAAAAGTTTAGGTAAAATAATTTATCATGAAGAACTTTTAAAATATTGAATTTAATGTGATGTATTTTGATCTCATTTCACTTAATAAATTAATTGAAATGAGATCAAAATACATCACATTAAATATCATTAAACGATAAATTTATCAATTTAATAGTAATGAAATTGCTTGGAATAATAGAAATTTTGCTATTGCCATGTATAACAATATTAGACTATGTTTTTAATCCTATAAATTCTGCATTTTTCAGATTGGATATTTACCTAAACATAATCATAAATAAGCTAATTTCACTTTCAGACTGAATTGAGTTGTAGCTTACCACATAAATATTGTTTGCATCCAGTATGCTTAATGCTGAGACAAAACTGTTTATGGGGAATACACCTAATAAGGAAATTAAATGATTGATTATAAAAGAATTTTTAACATTATTTTGTTTTCTATTATAATAAAATACCTTTGATATTTCTGACAAGGATTAAACTCACAGGGATCCATACTGGAACATGTACCAAATTCGTACTGGTCGTCTTTTAAGCCAATGCATCTGTTTTGGAATAATTTGAAATTAATTCATTTAGGCCGTATATATCTTAATTATTTAATTTCACAAAATAATAACCGAAATATTATTTATCTAACATTATCTGAAAATTTAAGAACTTGCAAAAATTCTTAAAAGATATTTAATATTTAGTAAGTACAAAGTACTGTACATAGTTGAAATTTTCCACTCTCCAACATTAACATTTTCTTTGAGTTCAACGATGCGACATAGTGTACAAGGGCCAATCTAGTGATTTTGGCACTAAATCTTGTGATTGTGGTTACTTGTTTAGAAACCTGTTTGTTAAAATTTAGTTGTGTCTGAACTCACATTTTAATACTTATTACATGGAATTTATATAAAACGGAAAAATCAACAGTATATATAGGGGGGTCGACTGTGTGTATAGTGTACTATATTATTATTCTGTACTCTACTTGTTTTCTATTAGTAATCTGTACAATAGGAAAAACCAATATTGTGATAAAGAAAAGGAATATTGAGTAAATATTTAAAGTGTCCCAAATTTCTACAAATTGTTTTTATGATAATTTCTCAGGTTTTGCATTCCAAAATCAGTCTTGTATAGACCCGCTCTAACCAGGGCCCATTTTGCCATATTTTTTGTTTTTTGAGCAAAATAAATACGTAGAATGTTTCTTTATTAACAAAAAGAAGTATTAAAGATTTTATTTTCCTTTAGTAAAAGTAATGTTAATTTTATAGGGTAGGTATCATTACAGATCCCTAAGTTTTCTCCAATCCCGGAAAAATTTCCCAGCTCCCCTTTCGATGGCCCTGCTTCTAAATGAACAATTTCATTTATAAACTTAGTTTTAATTATATTGTTTAAATATTATATTAAAAATTAATGTTACAATTCGAATTTTATAAATAAAACCAATTTACTATTAATTACATAAAAATTATTGATTTGCAAGATTTCCTAAATTGTTACTTAATTTATACTATTGTGAAAATGTTTAAAAAGTTATTACTATTATTATTATAAGCTTACCTAGCAATACAAGGGCTGATGTAGGTTTTCCCATTAATACCACAAACTGGGATATAATGATATGGACACTTGCATGGAAGAACTAAATAAAGAATTTATATGCATATCTTATTTTACAAATTACAAACCGATATTAAAAGGAAATAGTTTTTAAATATTCATTAAATAAAACGTCATCAAACCAAACTTTGTACAGGGTGTGCAGGGTGTATCAGAATGACGTTTTAAAAATTTGGGGGATTGTAGAGGATGAAATTTTGAACGTTTTGATATAAGGAACCCATAGCCGGAATTATGATATAAAGTTTCTACAGCAGTAGGAAGTGCTTTACTACCCTTCACTTTGGTAGCTACCCTTCCGTCCATTGACGTCATGTTATTGTTCTTGACTTCTTCCTCTGGGGTTATGTAAAGTCCCTTGTGTAGGCTACACCTGTAGGAACAGTTCATGAACTTACGGAGCGCATCTTTACAGCATTTAATACCATCAGAGGAGAGCATGGCATCTTACAGAGAGTCGGACAAAAAATAGTTTGTCGTTGCACGTTATGTAACGAAGTTGGTGGTCGTCACATTGAACATTTACTCTAAAGTAGTGCAGCCACTGATTCGATTTACAGTTTGATTGTACTCTACTGTTTTTCCAATAAAACTTGTCATAAATACTGTATTCTGCTGTTTCATTCAGCATACCGACTGCAAAGTGCAAAGTGCTGTAGAAACTTTCTATTACATTTCCGGTTATGGGTTCCTTATATCAAAACGTTCAAAATTTCATCCTCTACAATCCCCCAAATTTTTAAAACGTCATTCTGATACACCCTGTATAGTATTCATCGTACTAATTTTTAGATATTTAGATAATAAATTTTAAAAACTAACCATTTTCAATTCTTTTATTCATTACTTTAAATTGTCTTAAGCATTTTATTTCTCCAGAAAAACACACACATACTTTATCATCGTCATAAAATTCAGTGTTGTGAGCTGCAAAATACATTCATTAAATTAAAATGATTCATAATATCATATTAAATATATACAGGTTAAAAGAATTACCTATTTTCTCATCAATGTAGTAATTATTTTTCTTCTCGGGATTAATGCAATCCTTGTCAGTAATACAATTAACAGAAATGCAACTGTCAATAATTCTATAAGGTTTACATTTACATACTACACGGCATTCTTGATTCTGTATAATATTAGGGATTTGGATGTATGTATTTTGTGGTACAATTATTTGAGCCATTTCTCCAACTCTGCAACCTAAAGCAAGAGTGTAATAATTATAATATAAATATACAAGTGCACGTAATATCAGAATAAACATTAATTACTGGTATAATGATTAAAAAGTGATTATACTATACTTTTATTTTAAAAAGTTTCCCTACTCTATAACAAGATTATTTGTATACAGTTTTAATATAATTATTGGCAATTAAAAGAAAAAACAATCTTTAATTATGCTACTGTTAAGGTTTTAAACAAAAAATTTCTCGAATTATTTTTTTCGCTTTTCATCTGATTTGACTGACACAAATTATGTTCCGATAGCCAAGATGGTCAAGCCATCAGATTACCATTCTGGGGCACGAAACAATAAATGATTTCTGTTTAAATTAATTAAAAACACATTAAACTCACCAGGAGTGCATTTATATGGAATACAAATTTGTCCAAATTTGCAATCGTGATTAACTAAACAAACTTCTGTGGAATTACAGGGATTTGGCTTGCATGGATGAGACACTTCTGTAGCGCTTCCATCGTGCTTACTATCGACTGAAAAATAAATTTGAATTATTCATAAAGTACTGTACGATAATTACAAATTAAATTTAAGAACAATTTTAGAATATTAATTAAGCATATTTGAAGAATTATCAAGAATATTTGTTTATTAATAATACCAGATACTTAGTTATAGATTAACAACAGTAAAATATTTAATAGCTAAGGAATAGCTATTCAGATGGCATTTTTACAAAAACAAATGACAAAAAGTGTTATAGTTCATAAAACACAGACAACTATAAAATTAGACAAAACTTCTAAATAAATATAAATATATATTAATAAAGACTTGAATAGAATACCGTGCATCATCGTATTATTTGTTCACAAATTACAAAATAAAGTTATAAAGATTTATATTAAATTATTAAATTTTAAATATAAAAATTTGTGTTAATTTTAAACAAATAGCAAATGTTTGAATTCTATCAATATTCTAACAGAGGTCCAAAATATATCTGCCATTCTTATATTCATCAGTTCTTTGAAATTTTCTTGAAGATATAACTGGATTAGACTGATCGGATAAGATAATGCAACAAAGGGAATGCCTCCAGAGAGAACTTTGTATAGGAAATTGGATCCTATTTAGTTATTATCCAAATAAAAAAACTTGAAAAAAAAAATCTATGTGGCAAACCCTTTGGTGAGGTGCGACCCCGCCAGTCTTCAGAGGTTTTATCCACCAGAGGTAAATTAAATCAAAATTATGTTGACATTTCATGACTGCAAGTATATATATCTTACTAATAAGTGATTCAATTCAATTATTTAATAGTTTATTATAGAGTTTTATTTCAAGTAGAAAATAGACATTTAACATTATCTTTCAATTCTAACATTAAAATATTTCGAACGGTTTTCTGATATGAAAAATATTATGAATTTTAAAAAAACAAATGAAAATATTGGAATTTAAATGTAAAACCATTTCACACAAGACAACAATTGTTTTATAAAAGAAAATAAACTGATTATTCAAATGTACCAATACTAGTATTTTTTTAATCCTTAATTTAAAAGAGTTACAAAAAGAAATATTTAACGACAATTCAAAATACGATATTTTAAAATAGTTTCCAATACTAAACTAATTTTTCATATTGTGTTTTAAAGAATTTCATACAGAAAATAAAAATATTTTTATCCTTCATAAGTCTGATGCAAAAAAAAAAAGAAGAGAAGGCGGAGGAAGTTCCTATGCAGGATGCTGAAGGAAACTGTTTAGCTTACGAAATCATTACGTGTTTTGCTTAAGGAAGAAAGAGGACGTTAAGAGGAGACGAAAGACGACGGCATTAGTTGAATAGAGCAAGAAAACAGGTAATAAGATCCTGTGGAATGATGCGCATGGTTTGCAGGAAATCAGGGAATAAGAGAATATCTCGCAAGCAGAGAAATTAGAGATAAACAAACGATGCTTAGAGGATAATTAAGTCATTATTAGGACTCAGATTTACTCCCTAATTCATGGAAATGTTACCCGGAGAGAAGGGTAGAAGGAAGGAAGAAATAATGGGAAAAAAAAAACGAATTGTTAAGCAAAAGTATTGACAGTTTAAGTCTGTTTTAATTAAGTTTAAATAAGAGTCTTAACTTGTACTTAACGATATAATTTTGAAGTTTGAAAGCTGTATTTTAATTTGATAATGTTAGACTCTTCTGTTTGAAAACTGTCGAAATTAGATATCATATATCCTACTGTATGTTCCAATTTTGTGAAATACTATATGTTGAAGCCTCTGATAATGGGCTTGTAGCCCGAAAATACTTAGGATGAAAGTTTATGTATAGCTAGTATACTCCTGGAAAGCAGTACAAATCTGATTTGAAAAATAAACTGTTTCAAAAGTATATAAAATTTAGTAAAAACTTTTCCTTTTTTTTTCTTTTTTACATAAACTAAGAGTCCTTCTGTTTTATTAGAGTGATTTATATATAAAACTTTAATAAAACAGTAGGACTCTTAGTTATACATTGTATATCTTATTATATATTAAAATTATTGTAGTCTATATTAAAATTTAGTAACGTCTCTCTTTTCAAAGATTAGATCAAACATGGCGATTTGGGGCACCACGAACAGCTTTATAGTACCTAAAATTGTCTCGAATCACTTTACAACATATTTTATCGTTTTTTCTCATAATATTTTACTCATTAATACTTTAGTTTTATGGTTAGGAGCAGATCCTTATCATGCAATTTAAAATTGTGCTGTTTTAATATCTGAGTTGTTCATTTCTCTTTTATATAAATTGACGAATCTATTATACTTCAATTTCTAATAAATATGTGTAAATAAATAATATTTCATTTATTTATTTCCTTTGTATGCAAAATTTTGTCCACTTTCTAGGCTGTCCCGTCGAATAGAAAACTATTATTACTTCGCACACAGGAGAAGCCGGACAATGCATAGTCTTTATTTTCAGGAAAAAAACAGGTTAGATTTTTTTAATGTCTTGTGCTATACGATAGCCAACGGATTGAGGTATCAATTGACATAAAAAGATCTAAGTGTTCTCTAACGGGTCTCGAGATACAGACTAAAAAAATATCTTTCCGCGATTCTCCCAGTCTGTCCTATATATAGTTTTGAAAGGGGAACCCATGCTAGGTAGTATGGCTCTTTGTATTGTACTACCTAACAGTAATTGGAGTGTTGGTATTATATTTAAACGATATAAACAAATAAAGAAAGTAATAGTTCTTAGGCAAAGAATAAATAATATATTTATATAAAATATATTTGATATAACTATTTTCATATACCACACATTCATTGACTACAAATTTAAGATTACCACAAAACAGAAGTAAAAATATACAAAAACTGCTCTTTGTCATTTTTTTTCTATTAACATAAAAAGACATTCTTAATTCTGAAAAAAAATAAAAAAAGGTTTGTATTTATGTAAAAAGTTCTAATGAGACGGCTCTTTCTCTCTCCTCTCTTCTCAAGATGCATATTTTAGATAGGCATCCAAAAAATTCACTGCACAAACGGTGTTAACGCATCAGTGATAATTAAAATAATAGCTAACCTGTCCCAGCGCCCCAAAATAGTTTTGGTGGCGCGTCTCTAGGAGCAGGACACACAGTTTGGGAACTACTGATGTAATCATTAGCCTAACAAGAATCTGAAGCCACTTTAACTGAATCTGAATGTAATTATAAAATAAAATATTTATGAAAAATATTAAATGCAACGCTGGCATAAACATAGCATTAATTGCAATTAAACATGCACAAAAACAATATAATTTAGAGAAATTAAAAATACAAAAATAAAAATTTTGTTGATTAAATTATTTGATTCAAACAAATTTAAATATATACTGCTAAATTTTGCTTAATATTTCACGTATAAAAGTTTATAAAAATTAATTCACTTAATTTGACATTGCACTGAAAGTATAAATTTTCACATTAGTATATATCCAGCTGGAACATACAAAAATAAATTATAAGTGTGCAAACTAAAAATCTGCACAATTTTGGCAGCCATATTTGATGATTTTTTTTAAAAAGTACATTTGAGAACGTGGTAGAGTAGATTGTAGAACGTAAATCTATGACGTCTGTTGCTCAGACGTCATAGATTTACGTTCATGCTCTCATGATAACAAAATTCCAAACGTAAAGAAAATGGAGCAGCAAACAACTGTACAGTACTTGAAAAATTTCATAAACAGCATGAAGAAAGCGAAGAAACTTCACTTAGTTGATATTGAGATGACAAGAAGGACAGTTACAACGTCGTAGAAAGGCTGGAAAGTGGTAAATCTTTTGCTAGATGTCCAGAGAGTGAGAGAAAAAGAATTAAAATGATAGACAGCCCAAAAATATACGAAAAATCAACTCAAATTGCAAAGGACTTTTCTGCGAGAAATGCCCCAGGAAAATTTCAAAGCTTTAAACGGACTGGACGTTATTATGGAAGATAAGTCACATTTTACCTTTGATGAAAGTGACTACGTTGGAAACAACTCATACTATTGTAAGGATAGGAATTGAGATTGATCCACAGGTAAAATTTAAGCGCCATGCAAAATGTCCTCAGAAAGTGTTCGTTTTGATAGCAATCAGTCCAAAAGGAAGATATGAAGCATTCGTAGAACTCTGTCGCCTCTGAATCAACAAAGAAATATACAAAAGTGGGTGTATTAAGAAGACGTTGATCCCATTCCTGAAGAAACACCGTTCGGGTGGTCTGTGTTTTCTGTTTTCGAATTAAGGATCTCTCAGCTGCATATTATGCGTGGTCTGCCGAAAATGAAACGGAGTTGAAACAGCGCATCAAGTCAAACTTTGCTAATTTAATTGAATTTTGTGTTCTTGGCTATTTTAAAAATAAAGACGTTTGATTTTTGTGCAGATTTTTCTTACACATCTTTAAATGGATGAATTCTGTTTTAAAATTTTCCTGTTTTTCAGTTTTGTAATTAAATAAAAAACCAATTAACAAAAAAGTTAAAAAATTAAATAAAATATATTAACCAAGATAAGGTCCTAAAGATATGCAAGCCGAATTCTCCCATTGTGGTGATAAGATTTCACAAAATGTAGATGGTGTCTGTCCTTCTTCAAGCTGACTGTAATCAATACATTGGCTCAAAATATTTATGCAATCAGATCTATGTTGAAAAAGAAAGTAATAAATGCATTGTTATAAAAATTAAAATTTTATTACTAAAGCTGGTCGTAACCTCCGGTTATGCACACGATCTCTAGCAGATGACATTAAAAATGTAATGCTTTTTCTATGAGAAAATCCGTTTAAAAAATTTCTAGAAAATTAATGAATTCGGATTTCAAAATTCTGAACCGTACATTAATAAAAGAATTAAACAGGATTCTAACCCAAAAAAACTGTTAGGTTCTATCTGCTTTCATTTTCTAGAATTTTTTAAACGGATTTTCCCATAGAAAAAGCATTACATTTTTAATGTCATCTGCTAGAGATTGGGTAAATAACCAAAGAGGTTATAATTAGCTTAATATAAATTATTGTATTTCCCGCAATGTAAGATGCACTTATAATTTTGAGCCTTGAGACAACCTAATGATGAGTCTCTCATATATCTTTTATTTAAGAAACGTTACGATTTGTAGTATGGTTTCTAGTAAGCATTCTACTTTCTAGTATATTTTATTATTATTATTCAGTATTGGAAAACAAACGAAACGAATACGTATACATAGCTTTATATATAGGTGATGCATGTATTGTTTTCGTTTGTTTTTAAACAAAATAACTTATAATTGTGTATTTCTTTCTTGTTGGTACAAAGATAATTGAGTCAAAATCAGCGCATTTGTTTTTCCACATATCAAGTGTCTAACTGAGAACCCTACTCAAACCGGACTGCTATCTTTATTTGTCTAAAACACGTCATCCCGTGTCTAATGTTTGGTAAAGTGCATCTTGTATGTTGGGAAGTACAGCAATTAGAAAATAAATATGTAATTTCTAACAACTTAATTTGCAATAAGGAGTATTTTAACAAATAAAACACAAAATATGTTATAATAAACTTTTTAGATATATTCTACTGTGTTATAATATTCAAAAATAAAATAAAAATTCATAAATATAGTATAAGTGAATACTAAAGCTTTTCTTATAATTCAATTTAGTATTAAGGCAATAATACTAAATTTTATGAAATGTTTATACAAAATAAATGAAACGAACAATTATTTAGTGAGGCATCGTCATAATGCCGGGCTATAATTTTATTTAATTTAAAATATATGCTTTCCACCTCAAATTACTAGTGTCTTGCTCCTGTACAGTACATCATACTTTTAACAATAGCATAGTGCCGATCTTCACCTTTAACACTTTTCAGTATCTAACACCTTTCAGGGGATAATTTATGAATTGAAATAACGTGACTTCCGGTTTGCGACAGACGTTCCTATATAGTTATTCAGGGTCCCCTGCCTATAAGGTTTCTATATTTGGTCTCGTCTTTCATCTAACTCCGTTTTCGAGATTAAGGAAAAGCGATGGACGGACAACAGTGGGAATTTATAGGTCTACATTTTTTTCTAATTGCAGCCCAAAAATTTGATATATTTCTCGTTGCAAAAAGCATAGTTAAAAGAGCGCATGCAGATACCGAACGAGAAACACGAGGAAGAGAAACATGCTCTTTGTGTCGATGCTCGTATTTAGGTTACATCGTTATTTTAAAAAAAATGTTTTATTGTGCCATAAACAATTTCAGTTATGCTCAAAATGAGTGTGCCAAAGAGAAGAGAAAGATATGACCTATACAATGAATGAAAATAATTTCTTTTTGTGTGGTGAGTGGTGAATGATAAATGATGCTGTTTAGTTTATGGCTTAGTGTCTTTACTAAATATAGGCCATCTGAAACGTCAATTACCGTGAAATTAATAAATATAGTCTTTTTTGCAGCATAATTTAATAAGAGTGGATTAATAAACTTTCATAAAAGAATAAAAAATATGGTGATAGATTATTGATACTTTTAACTCATGAAATTCGATCACATCCAACTATAAATTGGCCAAGCCTGCTATAAATGAACGTTGTAAAATATCATTATTATATAGTGATAAACTATCTTAATTAAGACATTTAAATTATTAAACGATAGAAATATAACAAATAAAGACAAATAAAATCTTACTTGCATATCATATTCGGATACGGTTGATTTCTACATGGTTTAATTTGCAACATGCAAGCTATGGCTTTCCATTTATCCGGTTGACATTCGGATATATCCAGAACTGGGATTTTTATCTGAGGCATTCGGGGCATTTGAATAATCCCTCCCTTCCACAATTCCACGTCATGATAGGCTGCTTGATCGGCTCTTACATCACAGCTTCGAAACAGTTCGGTCGGACGATAATTAAATTTGTTGCAATAATTTAATCCTTCGCAACCTAATTCGCAAGGTTCATCGACTGTAAAATCAAAAGTCAATCAATAATAATAATTTTAATCAATGACAATGAGAGTTGAAATTATTTGAAATTCTAAGAAGAGAAAACTGTAAATTTCAAATTTCAGAAATCAATAAAACATGTATTTCTGATATTAAAAAATTAAATTAATGATCTATGATAAATTACGTATAAATATAAAATGGAAACGAAAACTTTTTAAATTATAAAAGTCCTAATTTTAAATATTTGGAACATTTCTTCCTTTTTTTAAATAAAAATAAATAAAAAATCCAGGAATCCATCTTAACACTCAGTTCAGAAAACTGATTTAGAAACGCTTATCGTGATGTAACTTCGGTCGAATGTCTTATGATCCTTTCGGTCACGGTTAAAAGTCGCTCCAGGTTCAAGAAATGGGGAGAGTAATAATTTTAATTTTAGGATAAAAAACATACTTTGTAAATGAAAAATAATCCTTTGTTTAAGTTATGTAGGTTTTCTAATAATGTCTGGCTAATAACTAATGGGAAAACTAACTGTAAAAATTATTGATAAATGTGGATAGAATTTCACATACCTTTTATTAAAAAAAAAAGGAAAAATGTAATTGTATCACGCTAAGACACTAATTTTCCCATCTTTTAATAAGTCGTTATTCCTGTTTTATTATCTTGTTTCTTTCGCATGCGGTGACGAACTTTTCAATTGTTCTCTCCTCTTCTCTTCGAGTTTTTTGATGCACGCTTTCGTGTTCATTAAAGTAAAACAACAAAAGCAGGTAAAGATAATTTTTTTTCTGCTACCAATCAAAACTTCATATTCCAGAAAGTATGCTGATTGATATTTCGAGAATTGCTAGTCTACTGAATTTATATATAAATATACGAAGTAAAGTCAAAGATGAATGGAAAATTTAAGGTTTCGTGAGATTGTCAGAGACTGGAGTATCAGTTTTTATAAGCCAAGTCATGAATATGCCCAATTGCCATTCGTATTTCCTGTCTCAATTATTAGCAACGCGATAAAGCCGAGTTTTTATAGCCGTATCAGAGAAAATTGATGTCTAAGAAATGACACATCTGGAGCAGCGAGCAAATATCAAATTTTGTGTGAAAGTTGTGAAATCTTTGTGGAAACTTTCAATATTCTCCGTTAAGAGAAAGGCGAAAAATTTATGTGTTGTGTGTTGAACACAGATTTACAAACAGCGTAAGGATTTAAAAGATCATCTGGAATCGAATCAAGATAAACGTCATCTCGAAGAATCAGTTACTACAAGAAATGATGAGACGATCAGAAGATAAGAGAAGAGATCGGAGAAAATTGCAGGCAGACTATCGACAAATCTGGAAAACTTTTCGAGAATTTCTCGCGGTTCAGTTCATTTAATATTGAGCGGAGAAACCTCAAGAATATCTCACCGTTTCTGTAAATATCTTACTCTAAGAGATTTAACGAACAAACAATGTGAAGCTCGCACTCTGATGAGTAAAGTTATTCATTGACAAAATCGACAAGAATCCTTATCTAATGAGCAGAGTGATCACCGACAACGAAACACGATTCCTTTCCTTTACGATTTCAAACCAAAGACCAGTCTTCAATGTAGAAATCACTTAGACATGACAGACCATGACAGAAAAAGTTTAGGCTTGACAAATCAAAGGAGAATTTGACGTTAGTGATGCGTTTTTATTACAGCATTTACCACAGATTTATTCCTGGAAGTCATAAAGAAGTGTATTTTGTAATTCTCAGCTGTCTGCGTATATCTGCCCGACTTGTGAAAGAGACATATGTAGGTCCTTCACCTAAAAATGTCCCTGAGCATCGGTTGTTCCTGGTCATTGAATATCTGATCAAGAAGGACATATAAGTGCTTTCCCAATTACTTTACTCCCTTAATCTTGTCCGGTAACATTTTGTCTGTTTCCTATAATGAAAGAGAAATCGAAGAAAGAAATCCAATCAACAGCAGAAATATAAGGCACAGCATGATATAAAGACATGACAAAAATGGCTATAAAGACCGTTTTAATCCGTCTTTGCGTTGACGAAAATGAAAACAAAAAGAAAATCGGGATAAGATAAAAGGAAAGCCAACTCAATAAATCTTCTCGGAAGAGAACAAAGAAACGAGCCCTAAAAGGGAGTCGAGTACATCAGCCTCTTTCAATAATGCTGATTACTGTTGCGTCTGTCGTAGCTACTACTACGCTAAACGTGGCAAGTCCTGCGACTGAATAGAATGTGTATGGTGCAGAAGGTGGATGCATGAGATCTGCACCAAGTTCGCAACCTTCTGCCCCAAGTGCGACGAGATTAAACTTGGTGATGAAAGCATATCAGATGGAGGTGATCCAGATGAGTCTTCCGAGTTGTAGAATAATGAGTTAATTCACTAGTTTATGTGTTTAATACAAATAAGGTACCGTACATTCATAAAATGCATCTCTCTCCTAAATCAAATTTTTCCATAGGTCAACGAACGGTGGCACAGAAACAATAAGCAATATAAAAATATAACGAGATCACCGACTAAATTAGATGGAAACGAAATTGAGCGTGTTCGAAATCGTTCTTTTTATTTAAATTTACAGATATAGTAAAGACTCACCTTCGGCCAGACAATGCAACATTTTCCATTCGACCAGATTATACTGGCAACGTCTGTCGAATTCTTCCCAATGACTTTCCCATTCGTTGTTATACATCTGCAACGGATCAAAACGCATGGCGTTAACAACTCTTCACCCGCTCAAAACTATTATAAAATTATTGATATATTAAAACTATGAAATTTTACCTTGAGACATAGATCTTTGCAATGAAGAGTGACGGCTCGATGGCAACATTGAAGTTTTACGTTGTCCATACCGAGACGATCGATTCCTACCACAGTGTCGTATTCAGATCGAGCGGTGTTGGCCAGAAAACACTGCCACAGTCTGTCCTGCGTCCATCAAACAGATCGCGCTTTATCAACAACTTTAATAATTAACCCAGGCGATCTATTCGCGTTACAGATATACGCGCCTGCATCTCACGCGCACTTTTAACCCAAGACCGTGTCTGCCCTCTCGGATTTTAGATTTTTAGTTAATTATTTCTTTTTCTTTCAGTCTTTCGGTCTTTTGGAGCGACGCAATCATTCTTCTTATCGTGTTAATATCGTACATTACATATGTATCGGCGTAGCAGTTGAATAACGCCACACAAAGTGCACCCGCAATAGTGCTTCTATGAGCTTTTACCGCTGCCCATCTTCTACGAGTTGATGTGGCTAAGGGAATTTCTGGAGATCGATGGTCCGGTTTGGAAAACATTTAAACCCTTCTTCACTTCGCAAAATTGTTTTTGTCAAGCCGACGAAGAAGTCTTAATGAATATTCAATTTAATTAACGCAGTCGACTTCGCTAAACCGATATTTTCGTCATCGGGTGGCGAGGAAATCGCTAGAGGATAATCCAATACTTGTGAGTCCGAAGTCAACGGGGAAAAGCCAAACGGAAACGAATACGGATAGAGACGACAGTTCCTTCCTAATTCAAAGACTAATTTTGTAAAGGAAGTGGTGGGATTAAAGGGGATTACCTGGGGAAGAGGAGGTCCGCATCCTCCACCGATCAGACGCTCCATCACCGCTTCTTGAGTGCTTCCACCAGTGCCCAGGATCCTTCTGCACAGCGAGCGACAACGATAATAAGACGACTTTTCGCAGCAATGAACGACTGAAAAACACACAAGTAATTATTAACATTAACCGGAAAGCAACAGACCGCGTTCATATTGATAGGGAACAGAATAGGTAAGGTTCACAGAGAAAAAATTCATTTACGCCGTCCCTAACAATTGTTTGTAACAAAATCCTGTCTATTTCGCAAGTATTCGGCGGGAAGGAAGCGATCGGAAGTCGACTTCCGCCACGTGCGGTCTGGGTTTCCACCGAGACGATTTTATCGACGAAAAGCGAGACGTAAACGATCCCGGAAAGAGCAAACCGCTCTTCTTTTTTATATAAACGACGGCATGAAGCGTGCACCGAGTATCCTTTACAAGAATTACTCGCTTAGCTCTATACTCCGGGAACGTCTCGAGTTTTATTTCAAAATTTTATTTCTTTATTTTTTTCTAAAAACAAATATAAAAAAATGAAAAAATTAGTGGTGTCAACTTATTCGAGAGATTCTACTATTAAAAAGTCGACATGTATATAGTTTGCTTTCGATGAGGAAGTTTAGGAAATTAAAACGGAAATTCGATTAAATTTCGGATATCCGAAGAATATTTTGCCTTAAAAAAGCATTGGATTACAGGACGCTTTAGCTCTCGGTCTTACCTGGCTATGGAATGTATACTGTAGATAAACTTCTGGTATAACCATCCTATCCATGTTCATTCTCCACATACACTTTATTTCGCAGGGTAAGTTCTGAGTACTAATTTTTTCAGTGTTGGTATTTTGTATGTCGTGGATGTTTGGTCTACTACTACGTCTATAAGATATGTGATTTTGTTTCGTTTGAACGTGATGTCTGGTCTGATGTGATGGATTGTTTTATATATGATTATGAATCGGTCGTATATTTTGTATATGCCGTTTTATAAGACCGTCCCTGTGTGTATTGTAGTATGCCAAGAAATAGTTTGTTTGTTACAAATGTTTAATGTATTATTTTTACTCGATTATGTCGATGCAAATAGTCTTTATGTATTAAAATTTTGCAATCTGATATGATGTGTTGTATAATGTATAATGTAGCTGTGATCTTGGGTAATATGTCTTTTATTAAGGTGTGCTTTTTGTGATTTTTGTATTTATAACCATGGGCGTAGCCAGGAAGGGGCATGGGTGGGCACGGCCCCCCAGTTAACATGGTGCCCCTCCCCAGAAAAATACAGCCAAAAAGTGTTGAGCCGATTTGCAAAAAGAAATAAAAATCTGAAGCTAATTTAATTGGGTGTAGTGTACCCACTGAAAGTCTAGATCAGGCATAGCCAACGTACGGCCCGCTTAATGAATTTATGCGGTCCGCGATTAATCTTTGAATATTGGACTTAACTTCAAATAATTGCTGGAATGGATCCGCGATAATTCCTTATATCCTCACAATGTGAAGTGATAGAAAAGTTGAGAAATTCTGACCCCTAAAGAAAAAGGTCAACAGCTTTCTGTGCCCAATGTGAAAAGTGTATCTCTATGCACAGTTTAGTCTCTACGGGGTGACGCCACAATACGATCTCGCATCACCTGAAAATCTTGCTAGGGCCGCCTTTGCTTCGGCCAGTGAAAAAAGTTTTCTTTTCAATTCGGCCCGGGGGAAAAAACTGTTGGATACCCCTGGTCTAGATCTAGATTAAAGACGGTGAACAATATTAAAGAATGGTAAAAAAATAATTGATTGGTTAATTTTTATTTAAGACATTGCTAGAGTTTGATATTAATGTTACGAGAACGTATGATTAAAGGAAGTTTCATATTATATGTGGGTTAAGTTATTGTCGATTCCTATGGAAATTTCATTTTAATGAACAATAATTTGAAATAATTCAATTTTGTGTCAGGCTGGCCTCTACTAGGCCCCCATAACAAAACTCTGGCTATGCCAATGTTTATAACCGGGTATAAATATCATGAACTTTTACATCACAGTAAACTGTGATGTAAAAGCATCCGATCTAGGTAGTTTGATGTAGTTTTCTGAATGTGATCCTGGCTAAGATCGTTAGGATGCTCCTGTGGAACTTCATTTATATCCAAAACTGCTTCGTGGTGTCTGTGTCTGTTATGTATTGTGCCTAAGTAAATCTATAACTATTCTCTAGAGTTTAATGGCAAAATTTCCTCCGTGACTGAAAGTACCTGTATATTTTGGAGGAAAACTCCAAAACGGCAACGGATACATACGTCTTCGATAGAAGTGCATTTTAAGTGGCAGCACTAACGTACTGTACGCTAACGGCTTACGATCCTTCTAGTATTTACACATATAACGTAAATTGTGGAAGGCGGAAAGAAACCTTTCTATGTTAAACCTAAGATTAAGACACAAAAGTTGGATATTTCAATAAAGAAGAAAGCATCCATGGCCTAAATAGATAGGAAAGAGAGTCCAATTGTTCCCATTTATTCTTCGTTATTGTTAAGATGTTAGAATTTGTGTTAAGATGTCAAAGTTTTGTGTATGTGGTTTGTTATTTATTCAACTGCATTCGAAATTGCAATTGCACATGTAGCTGTCACTTTACTCAGCCAGGACGTCACCGTCCTGCTGTGACCTTTGACATTTAACTGTGACATTCCGATCATGTGTTTGGAAGGGAGGTTAAAGTCGGTGGTCAGTCTTTTGTGTATCGTGAATGGCTCTACATCATCGTATTCAATTCATTTCTTTGTTCTCATATTCGCGTGTGAACAACATAATTAAGTGCAATAACCTTAGTTGAGTTTCCAACAGATTCACCCAACAGTTGCTCTACGAAAATTTAGTGATGGTTATTAAATTTTGAGAAAGAAAAACCTGTCTCCTATTTAATTTTCGATTATCGAGCGTCATTAAAGGAATTTACGATAGAAGGAAAGAACTTACTTCGCCGAGGATCTCGGGCCGGAGTCCTTCGAGTGTACTCTCGCACGCATCTCAGCACCTCGGGAGAGTCTGAAGAACAACTTTCCAAAACGGCATCTCGGGCCGGAGGCTCGGGCCTCCCCCGATGAGCCAAGGCCCGTCGACAGGCTAGACGACAGGCAGAGCTCCGGGCTCGACCGCAACATCTGTCTCCGGCTGAAAAGAAAGAAAAAAGAGAATCGGACGGTTTCTTAGAGGACGAAGACGTTAGACGAAAGTGGCTCACCTTCCAGCCTCTCGACGCACGAATAGAAGGACAATTCGTCACTACGACGACAATGCTGCAGCAGTTCTTCGCCGTTCCGAGCCTAATGACGAACAGAGAGTCAAAGAATTAACGGCCGTATTCACAACCGAGGATCAAGAGTTTGAGTTAAAAGTTAACCAATTACCATTTACTTTAGTTTTAGTACGCGAACGCTTATTGGTTAATTTCTAACTCTGACTCTTTAGTGCGAATACGGACATAAGAGTTAGAGAGGAGTGAAGAAGAAAGAGGTACTCACGCTCAGACAAGCGAGACGACATTTGCGAGACTGGGGAAGACGACAACAGGATCTCCCGTTCCACTCTCTGCCTCCGTCGATCTCTGTGGAGAAGAAAGTAAAGAGTAGTGTTTTAGCACGCTCTTCAATCAGTCGGTAGATGATACAGTGCGTGAATATGCTGTGTTAAAATTGATTGAAAAACCTACAGAAAAGTTATAATAAAAACGTTGTTGCACAAAATTAATATTCACGATGATTCGTTTGTAGTAGAAAGGATGCATTCTCTCTCCCGGAAGGTGGTTTTGACAGAAAAGTGAGTAAGACCTAGAATCGGGTCGATCGTTTCCAACTGCATATGGAGTAACGGAGATTGCCTAATCGGAGGATTTGGAGGGAAACGACTTGAGTTGCGGTGGGAGGAAAAGAGAGAGAAGAAAAACATATGGAACGACAAATCTTCTGTATAAGTTTACCTCAGTTATTATTCCGAAACTTTCTTTTTGAGGAAGAAACTCTCTTTAAATTTGCTACATATAGTTGAATATACAGAAAACAACAGACATATACTGTGTTGAAATATATCGGAACGAATACCACCAACTTCGAGAAATTACAGAAAAATCCCGAGAGTAAAATTCGTTGTTCCTTACGAACCATGTTATTTAAATAGAGAGCAGTAATGGTTTATCTATATTTCTTATGTAACACTTAATATAAAAACAACAACCAGTCTATCATAGACATATACTACATTTAAATAATTTATAATAATGTCTGACGGCTATCAAAATTACTTTTTTAACATTTCCGAACTTTTAAAAAATCAATTATGTTATTAGACTGCTATAAAAATTGTTTTTAAAAGCTCTTCGGACGTCTACGAATTTATGACAAAAAAGAAGAACGGACAACTTCTCTGTTTGTTGATAAATTCCATTTCGTGGAACAGAGTCCGAATGAAGGCGATGAGGTTTTCGTAAAATTCTTCCATAAAGAAATTTAAAAAGCAACGAAATGATTGGAAAAATTCTAGTATGAAATTATTATTCTTTGCTAGAAATCGATATCCTAACCAAAGACTAACCAAGTTAACGGACGAAACACTTTCATCAACCGCCTTCTAATTTTAAATGACATGTTTTTCTTGTCCGCCCATTTTCTTTTAGACGAAAATAACAGTCTTTATGGACAGCTCGTGGACATTGTCTTAGTATCACGCTTTTGTTCGCAATTGTTTTCGTCACGCGCTTTCTCCGCCTTCCCCTCTAATCCTTCCGGTGACGCCCGCAAATGGCCAAGTGAATAAAATCGTTAAATACGGCTTATTGGTCCCTGGTTAGTGCCTGACAGCCGGCTAGCCGGGAAGAGTTTTCTGGTTTTCTTCACGTGTCTAATACGTAAACAAGGGCCAGTTTCCCGTAGAAGAGTTCTCCTGGGAGGCATTCCTCTTGACAGATCGTCGTCGTGTTGCGTTGACTTATCCATACAACAACAACCTCCCGAAGAAGCACCGGGGAGGCATTTCCTGGAACGGACTTTTACAACCGCCGACTCTTTCTTTACGGGTAGAAATCGTATCGATCGGAGACGACATTCGTAGGCTTCGTCCGAAGGAGAGGTCATACGTCACGCCGCAGGACACCACCTCCCAGTCCTCCACAGCGCACGATAACGTCGGGGAGGCCAAGACCCGACTCGTCAGCAGGAAATCGACTTCTTTCCTCGTCTCCCGTCGTTCGTGTCATATAGGAAGGAGCGCCTTCCTCCACCGAGCGCTAACCATTCCGCCCAGAAAAAAAAACAAAAAAAAAAAAAAAACTTAGAAATCGGACAATTTCCAACCCCCGTCCATCAACTGCCGAAAGGTACTGTACCCCGATACTACCTATTGACCACCAGGCCAACGCACAACGCGTGAGCAACTACAGATCGCTGTGTGTATTCGGCCTGGATTCGGTTCCTCCTGGAGGATCGCTGTTTTTCAATTCGGTTTCTGAATGAAATGATTCATTGATTTGGTGACTTCTACTGACTCATATCATTATGAGAAAAAATTTTCAAAAGAAAGGCAAATTTGTAAATAAATGAATGATTCAATGAATGATTTTGACTTCTAAATCGATTCGTCGATCAAACGATTCGAAGGAATCGAGTAATTATGTAGGTTTTCATGGTCAATAAATTTTTTAATCGTACAGTAGTCGTTATATGTTGTCGAGAAAAAATATAATTAATATATAAATAACGAAGTTCAAACTTGGGAAAGCAGTGATCGAGTGGATAAAACCACTGAATAACTGGTAAATCGGTCAGTTGGCGAGGTTGCGAGTTCGCACACTCACTAACGACCGAATGCGTGAAGTTTTCCGGGCCTTCTTCACGTGTCTAACACCTGAATAGGGACCAGTTTCCCATAAAAGTCCTCCCGGGTGGTACTTTCCCCTTGGCATATCGCCATGTGTTGTGTTGACTTATGCCATCAATCTAATCAAAGATGGGGAAAAATAAAGATAAACTTTTAGATCTGAGATGGATATAGTTTATTATCTAGAGTTTTTTTTATTATCATTTTTGTCAGATATAGAAACTAGACTGAGGGAAGAGATTCTGTAGTATAAAGAGTAATTCTTTGGATAAATTCCTGTAACAACGGAATCTGCCTATTTAGTCACTTTGACACTTACCTATAATTATGATGATAACCGGCCACTAACATTAAGCGGGTAGGGAAGTCTACGAATAGATAATTATGGTTTTATTGATTCTGCCATTAGAAGTCATATTAAAATAATTTAAAAATGTATAATTTGATGCTTTATTAATAATAATAGTTATTATTATTAATTAATGTACAATTCATTCAGTATTGTTTCCCAGCTATCATTTATCAGAACAACTAGAGCATAATTGAAATAAGAAATACCAACGTACTACTGTACTGCGAACAAATAATTTATTAACGTGCACTGGTTAAGGCAGATAACAATTGCATATTATCAGTCACATATTTACGTTGATAGCGCGAAAAGTGCATTTTTATCTATTTATCCTAAGATTATAATAACCATTGATACAACTAAGAAGTCTGGCGAATAGTAAATCCAACGACTAAATAAATCCAATCAACACGTAATATTACATTAGCAATAGGAAAATTCGAGTAGAAATTTCCAAATATCTTCCATTAATGAACTATATTTCAAATATATATTGTATTGCCGTTGTACAAATTCTGTTAATAATCAAAATAAATCCTCTATTAAATAAAATTCAAACTACAATAAACAAAGAGCACGCTTAATAGTGTCGTCTCTTGTCGTTTCAAACAATAAGCACAAAATTATTAAATGAAATATACAATTGCAAACTAAATATAGACAATATATAAGAAAATTCGAAATCAAAATCAACATTCTATTAAATAGAGAAAATAATGGTAAATAAACATTCGGTTCCGTTCCGGATTACCATCCTACATCAAAAGTTCAAAGACTTTTCCATTTAAAAGTGCTAGATTTGCTCGAACTAAACAAATCGCGAGTAGTAATGGATGATTCGCGATCGATCGAATCGATCACCAATCATCTATTACTACTTTAAATCCAAGGACGTAACGGATAGAGAGAGAGGATTCCGATTTCCTCCAACCCAACCTTTCTTCTCTGTTACTAAAGGTTTCGGTATTGAATCAGTGATGTTAGAATAGAGCTTTGTTTGTTTTTTTTTTATTAATATCGATATTGTATAATTGTAAAACAACGTTTTAACAATAAAATGTATATTGATCGTATGTTACAAATGTGTTACAGCAATATTTCACGATGCTTCCCATTTATTAGAAGGCGCTAAACGTTAATAAATTTCTTTTTTTTTTTATTTAGTTCTTTACCGAAATAATTTAAAAGCATTTAGAAATGGAATTATGGGCAGTTTTAATGATTACTCTTTAAAATTCAATAAATTAAACTATTTCTGAACTCGATTCTAGGGATAGACTTTGATTGACGCTTAGGAAATTAATTTTAATGTGTAACTTATATATAATTTTAAACGTTTTAAACGATGACAATTCTGGTATGAAACGTATGGATGCTATGGAAATTAGAGATCCGAAAAGGATCCGAGGCGCATCCACAAAAAGGAGAAAGGAAAAGAGAAAGTGCAAGAAAGCACTTACCTTGAAAAGTCTGGCGGATGCAGTCCCAAAAAGCCACCTGAAAATGAAAAAATGCTTGGATAGTCGCTCGAAACCAGATGAAATCCTTCTGCGCCTCCTTCCCTAGACCAAAGTTCTTTGGCTTCCGGTTTCCGTGGGTCGAAAAGCATATAAAAGAGAAGGAACCAGTTTCTTTCGTTTTAAAATCCATCTTACTTCCATCGACGGATCAGCGTATTAAATTTCTGAACGAAACGTCAGATAAAACATCACTTCCGAATTTTTGTGGATGAGTGAGTGGTTATGAACAAAAATTCGGTACTCTAACAGTTCCGACAAATCGTCAAACCGGGTGGTTTGAATACATGTCTCGCCCGATCAATTAAAAATAAATTTAAAATTTAAAAAAAAATTATGATAAAGCATGCTCGTATGAGCTAGGTATTTCATTTCGGAAGGTTTGGGTACAAATCCATCTGTACCAGATGCGTGTGTAGCCAAAGGTAACATACGGAGACAAAAACCATTTCGTGATTAGTGTCTAAATCATACACGAAACGATTTCGACTCCAATTGTTCTTTGGTGTCGGCATTAATTTTTACGCAACCTCCTCCTAACTCTCTTGTTTAAACTTAATTTCGTAATTCCTGACTTTTTAATCGGTTAAGTACAAAAAATGACTTAAACACTCCTCTATTACTGAATAAAGACAGGACCTCCTTTTACCGAGTGATCAGAAATGGCTGTCATTTTCATTCAGTAAATGCCAAGCAGGTTTAGGGTGCTAAAATCGAAAACTTAAGTTAGGGCAATTATCTTTCTCCAAGTAATTTAACCTAAATAATTTTAAACTGGATACTAATGCTTAAAAGAATGGAAAATTTCAAATAAAATGTGACATTTTTCTTTGGCCAGACAACGCTCTGTTGAAGAACGTAAATTGTATCGTACACAGAAGGATTTGTGTTATAATGCATTAAAACTCGGATCGCAATTAATTTCTATTAAAATTCTATTAAAATATGTAAAACGCTAATCAGTTTGTTTTCGATGTTCATTATCAAATAATTTTGTATGCGTAAAATACTTGAGATAAATAAATAACAATTTTTTTTTTCACAAATAAAACTATCCAAAAAATAATATTTAGTGTTATTATTACTCTGAATAGTTTGTATTCTAACGTCTTTCTGAATTGATAAATTTGTCACTAGCTATGTACTGAACGCATGGTTTCTTTTTCAAACTTTAAATAGATTCGGACACATTAAGGTTCTTAAAAGTGTCCGTCTGAACTGTTTGGAGTATGGATGCATTGAGGTGTAACACCGGCCCGAGAGAGTCGAGAACCACCGCGTTACATCATAGGCTATCGTTCGTTCGCTCGCTCCTAGATGGCGTTTCCGTCAGATACCGGTTCCTTTTAAACGGGGGTTCACTTTCCCCCCTCGCGGTAAGTGTCGAACGGAGCGGAATGGGAAGGAGGCGTCGCCCCTCACCAGTAACTTGGAGCAGAGAAGATCGAGTCGGTCGTCTGTCTTGGATCTCTCCTCGTCGTCCAAAGCCACCTCCACCAGAGACACCTGCGGAACACATTTAAGTCACTATTACCGTTCTCCTCGTCCACGTCTATCGCCGGTTTCTAAATAAACCCAAATCTATCCTCTCTCCGCGCCCTTAACGCTTCTCGTCTTGTCCTTTTTTTCATACGCATCCTCCGATTTCGACTATCCTAAGCCGCTACGCGCACGAAAATAAGGACCGCGGCGACTATGGCCAAATTTCCGCACCGAAAGGCCGAAAGAAACTAAGGAAAGTGCGCTTTCCGCCGCGCGGCACCCTAAACGCCGTCTCGGGCGTCCGACCGCGACCAACCCCGTCTCGTGGAAATTGGGCGTAACGAACCTCCCCTCCGCTTCTCTCCCTCCGTCCACCGCAAACCTTCTCGTCACGTGGAGAAAGAAGTCGCGGAGTTTCTCCGGATACCTTTCGTCACGCTTCGATAAATACGCGAAGTTAGACGGGGGATTTCCAGGAGGAAAGTAACGCTGGGGGGAGTGGGACGAAGAGGAGACCCCGAATTTGTAGAGAGAGAGAAAAGCGGACATTTTAGACGTGGTACACATCTAGCTGCCCGGCCGACGAAGTCTTGCAAACAAAATTAGCAAAATCTGCACGGTTTAATGTAATTAAAGGCGTGAAGCATTAGAAGAATCGCTGACATACAGAAGGACGAACTGGAAACGTTTCACGACGCGTATTTGTCGCATGCAAAATAAAATTTCGGTAACCAAATACTTCTCTTCCCCGGAGATTTCTTTATATTCGATCGGAGGTGAACGCGTCTGTCTCTTAACAATAGAAAACCACCACCTCCCTCTCTAATGGTCGACTGATCACCGCCAAAAACTCCATTACTCGTTTCTCTATAGAAATCCGCAGCCAAAGTTATCCGAGATATAAAGAGGAGAAAATCCTTTGAAAACAAAGAAAATTACTTAGGGAAAGTGTATGGAACACTACCTGTAACCGGAGCCGTCAAGAGCTTGTATGAAGCTCGGACTACCTTTAGCCATTGTTCTTTCTGAACAAATGAAATACGTAGAATGATCTTTATTACTTAAAAGCAGTCTTACAAATTTTATTTTCTATTAGCAAGAATAAAATTAATTTTAAAGGGGTAGGAATTACTAAGGAACCCCAAATTTTCTTCACATCAGAGGGAAAATCTCCTCTAGACGGTCCTATCTATAATTTCTGTGTTTAACTGAGCTTAAAGCTGTGGTCGGTTTCTCTTTGTTTTTTGGACTACAGCTGACGCGCCCTTTCATCGACTGATCGTAGATGGCTGCAGATCGGAGCGTCCGAAGAGAAAGTCCCCGCGCTTCCTCGGGGAGGGAAAGTCGGGGCGAGAAAAACGGAATTCGCGGGAGGGGCACTTCCAAGAAGGCGAAGAAACTCAACACCTCGGCCTTCCGCCGGGGAAGAGGGGAATGTAGGTGAGGCGCCCACCCGTTCCTTCCTTCCCCGTTTTTCGCCCGTCCACCGCCGTAAATCTCCACCTCCCGCGGTCGTTTCTACCCTTTCTCCTCGGACGCGTCCTGCTCCTTTCCCGGAAGAAACTTCTGGAGGAACCGATGCCAGTTCTTCGCGGATTGGTCGCTTCATTCTTCTGTCCGTAACCGAGGAAGGCGCGACACGACGCGACGCGAAAGCGGCATTCTTTGCGTTTAAGGTGATCTAAACGAAGAGGTAGTTTTTCGTTTCGTGCAGTCTTTCGAGCGCGACACCCCTCTTCTCGTTTTGTCGACGGTCGACTGCCAACAAGGGGTCCGGTCTTAACTACTTTCGGTATCCGAGGAGGCTTACGTGATACGTTCGAAGTCAAACTATGAGTGAGCGCTTTGGATGCAATTATCTGAAATCCGATTTAGCCTAAAGGGAATTTTTAATATAATTGAAACAAACTGATAGTTTATACCCTATTCTCAACATATTTTCATCACCTTTAAAGTAATTTACTAATTGCACCTCGATTATCGGTAAGCACTTGTCTCTTAATATTTTGTTAATAATAATTCGAACGTATACAATCAATTCGATCAATCAACCGTCAATGTTATAGTTCACACGTCATTAGACTCATGTTGTATACGACAAATAATGCTTTAAGCCGATCGGTCTGCTCGGTTTCCGGCAGTAAATATCCAATTTTTAGTTTTTCTTTTTTTTGATTTTCTACGACGCGATCGCGCGTAGGTATAAGCACGTGTGTCGCTACTTGCATGCTTCATCTTTCAAACGAAACGGAGTGGAGTGTTTTTTAGTAGTGAGCGACAGTTTCGTGTAACATTTCAGTCGCTTACACTTCGTGTAAATCGGGATTTATTCACTCGCACGAGTTCGACGTGGGCCTCCCTCGTCCTCGGAAACGTCGCGAATTACCGAAAGTAATTAAGACTTGCTCCGATAAACCGAGACCACTAAATGACTGTATAAAAATATTTTTATACAGTCATTTCGCAGGTGTTATTATTGCATACATTATTGGTTTGAACGCGTTACGGCTTTGAGGCGCGGCGTGGGATCTTCGACCGGAAATAGGGGTGCCAAATCCTCACGTCCGTCTGTCTGTTCGACTGTCAACGGAAGGGAAGAAGAGAGAGTGTGGGGGGGTTGGTTTCGTGTCCGAACTTGGCGGGGAAGCGAGCGACCGTACGTAGATTTTAGGAAGGAAAGTGTCTTACTTGTTCGCAGGCCGATCTGCAAGATCCCGTGGTCAGAGTACAACACCTCGGAACTGAAAAATAAAAAAACCGAATGATGAATTACTAAAAGGTAGAGTTAAGCACGATTTCCGTTCGTCTTTCCACAAAGCATCTGGGATGGAGAGGGATCCGACGCGAATCATTAGCGTCGGCGACGGACGACGAAAAAGTCGGGCGGCGGCGTGATGTACCGGAAAACCAGACGTCCCGGGCCAAGAAGGGTCGACGGACGTCCGGCGCGACGACGCGACCCGTCAGTCCATGCGTGTCCCTTTCCGCTCGAGACTTGTGGTAAAGACAGGCGACGAACGGGAACCGATTCGTGAGAAACGAAAATATCCTTCCCTTCTACCTCTACTTCGTTCCGACCCATTATTCACCCTCGTCTCTCCCCGGACTACTTCAACCTTTCTCGAATCTCTAAAATCGCATGCTTTCTACTAGATACATTTCTTTTGGTATTTTCTTATACCTAATATTGACGGAAAAACGAGAGAACCGTTTTCCGGATAAACGAAGGCGAAAGAGCGGGTCCTTCCCACCCGATTGCGTCGGTTTTTGGTCGCGAGACGTTTGTTCCGGTTTCCGGTCTGAAGCTTTTTCCCTCGCCGACACGTGTTCGTAATTAAACGCGCGTTTTGTGGCGACTAATTCGTCGTGGGACGCGGGAGGAGTCATCCTCCCCTCCACGCCGCCCACACGCGCCCATCGTCCTGGTGGACGATTACCCAAAATCGGTCCGAGGAGAAGGATTTCGACGAAAGCCCGGAAAGAAAGAATGGAAGAAACGAATCCACTCTAATTGTCGCGGGGCCAATTTTCTCGGACCTGTTGGAAAAGCGGCTCTAAACCGTTCTCTCTGACGTAATACGATGCGCACACTGTGACCCGGAAAAATATTCCAATCGTCAATGATAATAGAACAGAAATTTTAATAGGCAATGCAATTTGCTAACGTTCATACCTGTTCTGCATTATTTCGAGAACAGAGATGGAGCGTTTTTAACAGAGACAGTTTGTGTCTCTGTTAAAAACACGTGTCATTATATGTGTATTCTTCCAAATATATTCTTTGAATACTCGAAATACAATATATTAAAATGATTGTGGTTCGAAGATCGACAACTAAAGGCCGGTTATCAGGGGACAGAGACCGGGGGATGATTAGGGAGGCGGTGGGTTTGCACTCGAACCTTCAAGTTTAGATAGACGAAAGTAATCTTTCGGATACGAAAGATTGAAGTTAAGGGTCGTCTCTGTCTTCCCGATATTCCATCGGAGGAGAGGACAGAGTATTTTTCCACACCTACGAAAGGGACAAGGATTAGTGTGTGGATATAAGTTCTTGCGTGTAATGTCTAGCGTGCAGCAAAACGTCGTCAATTTGGATCGTATCCACGTTACGCAAAGCTTTGAACAGCATGGATATGACGTCAAATCGAATTCGTTTCTCTGCACACTACACGCTACACGCAATAGTTTTAATCTAGCTTTTTAACAGGATTTAGCGCGACTAACGACAGAAATGAGAAGAGAAAATAGACCTATTAACTATTACGACACTCGGCTAAAACGAAATATTTGATGGATTCGCGGTATCAGCCTGCGCCTATTTATCAAACAATTTACTAATAATATCGAAGCGTTTTATCCAAATCTAGTTAGGTACGCGATTCGACGCTATTGTTTTTGGATATTATAAACTATTATACGGTCCGTAACATTGATACGGTCCGTAACATACAGTACGTAAAACCTATGTTAGATTTTTTTCTATAGGTTCATACGTAGCCATTATACGAGCGGTTGTGATAAAACGCTTGCACACCATCGCAGTTAACAATAGAAAGAATTGGGTCTAATAGAAATTCTCCAGTTTATAATGGAAAACAGTTTTAGCTTTACTGTAGTCAAATCTAAGTAATTGGTCGATTAATTTGGTAACAAATAGGATTAATGGTAATACTATGTAAAAGATGCTGTTGTTTCTCTCTTTACATAACCTAACCTAACCTAACCGGGCTTCTGGATTATTATTATTATTATTATTATTATTATAGACGGAACTATAAAAGAGTTCTTCTGTCCCGTCTGTATTGTGAAATTTTGCTTGTACTGTACTTTTAAATTGTCATCAGCCAATCTCGTCTAATCTGATGTTAGTGGAAAAGCACAAGAGGAATTACAGAAAAAATAAAATAAGCAAACGCCGATGGGAGGAGACGTTGCCACGGGCGACCGAACAAAGCAACTAAATGAATCGTCGGCCGGGACGTATCCGGCTACAATCATCCACCAATATTTTCCAGCCGACTCGAACTCGAACCAGAGCAATCTGCATCTACTCGAGTAGGTAACAGTACAGAGGCTTTTATCTCCCGAACAGTCGGATCGACAGCGATTCTAAGGAAACGCCTGTGGGAAAAGTCGACAAACAGACAAACAAACTTATTTACTTAATTTATACAAGGATATTCCGACTGGGAATGGAATAATTTCTAATAAGAGAAATCTGGAGTTCCGATGACACGCTGCAGAATCAATACGAAAAAATTACAGTAACCTGACACAAAACCATATGCTTAGTGCTGTATTGCCAAGCAGAACGAATGGTACCGTACTGTACTGTACAGTACAGTACGGTATATATCAACGTAGACGTAAATAGTTAAAACGCGTGCTTTTCTTGTAGCGGAAATTTCCCAAAGAACAATATTTGTGAAATTAAATTTTTCTATGGAGCGCAAAAACAGTAAAATGGTTCGGGCTGCACGATACAAACTGGATGACCGACGATTGCATCTTCCCGGTCTACAGGAGAGAATTCGTTACCCGACGAGAGCCAGACAAGGAAAAAAGCGAGTTGAGCGAGTCAAACGGAAGGGATCGATGGTTAATTTAGGAAAAAAACAGCGCGTGAAAAAAAAGACGGACGAAAGATAGCCGAGGATTCGAACTAAAAATTTAACTACTAGGAGTATTAGGAGAATAGTTTACGGAGCCAAAAGGTGAAATATTAATGGTAAACATAAAGGTGTCGACCTTTATATTTACCATTAATATTAACGAGAGAACGAAGGGAGAGAAAAGTAGCGTGGTTTGAAGGAGGAGGACAAAGAACGAAAGTGGCGAGGACACTTAACACGGGCCACCCGAGGTTCCCGGGCCAAAGCGATCTTCCATGACTTTTTCTACTGTCCTCATACTGTCAAAATCCTTAAACATACAGTATTTACGTTATATGTCATTTATAAACCCGCGTAGTCTGAAAACAAGACTATAAACAATAAATTTTAAGAATAGTTATTCATATTATTCGTGTTTCCTTTACAAATTAGTTAACTTTGTCAATATGTGAGAATTGAGAATTATAACAGTTTAATAAACGTGTAAAACTCCTTTAAATATTAAAAAAATGGTCAAGCATTTATAGACTAAAATGTGATGTTTCTAGTGTTTCAGTCCGATTCCACGTCAAAAGAGTGTCTCGCGACCTTTTACCACAAAAAGGGCGCCCACTCCTGGCTTAAAAAGGGGGAAGGAGGATAAGGTAATATTTCGAAAGGGAGGAAAACCCGGAGAGACGTATTAAAGACGGGAAGAAAAGAAAGGAGAGACAGAGGAACAGAGGTAAAGAAAAGCGAAGGACGGAGGGGAGCCGTCGATTCAAACAGTCCTTACGGACGTTGAAGAATGTCGAGCGACCGTAAAACGGGTAAAAAGTACGAGTCCGGTCGACTCTACCCTACTTCTTTCGAACCACGAGAAAGAAGCGGAGAGAAAACGGATCCAAACACCGGAACTCGGGTAAACAAAACCCTACGGCGACTCTACAGAAAATTTCATAATTAATTAATTGCCGGTTGACGCCGTCTCGAGACCGAAACGCGTCCTCGGCATTTAAAGGAATTACGGACAATTTCCGTCCGAGGCAAAGAGTCGAAGGGGCTAGACCCATGAAGAACTTTCTGCGCAAAAAATGAAGTAAAGGAAGAAGGAAACGCTTCTCTCGCCGGTGTCTCCAGTTCGACAGAATGCCCAATGACTCGGGAATGTAAAAGGAAGGAATTCATAACACGCCAAGGAACGGAAGGGGAATTATGGGAAGCAGATTCCGTCGTCCAGTTAAAATCTTCGATCGTCTATTAATCGACGGAATATTGTTTTGGATGAAGTGACTACGTGTGAAGACAGGACTCCGTCTACTACCGACGGCCACGGGATTTGCCGGAACACCTGGTAACTATTCCTGCGGTTGGAAGCCGCGCCCGCCGGAAGAGTTACGCAACGCGCTGTTACTTCCTCTAGCGTTAAAAGCCGTAAATGTGACGTAGGAACTTCTACAGCCAATTCTGCCTCACCTTCCGACATTTTCTGGGGGACCGAGCTGTCGATCGTTCGTTCTTCGAGCTTAATGCTAAACGCTAACGCTTTCTTCCCATTCTTTGTTAATTGTATTTATTTTAGAAGAGGCCGAGCGGCGTCTTTCCGGTAAGAAGGAAGCTTGGCTAGGCCTAAGAGGACCCCGACCACCGAAATTGGCAGATTCGGCCGTAAATAAACGTCGTAAATGTCGTCTTAAGAGAAAAGTGAAGGCTCGTTTTCTCTTTCTCCCGGAAACGCTCCCTTTGGAGGAAGTAAATTAACCCGTCCGGGACGAGGGAGACAAAATGTCCCGGGTAACGTACAGCACTTCTCGGAAAGAAAGAAAAAGGAAACTTCCTTTGGCCCGAGATTCCCGGATAAGAAGCGGTCGGGGGTGGAAGATTCCGCCCGTCGGAAGAAACGCTGTCTATCCCTCGCGCCGCTTTTTCCATTCAAAGTTTCTCTCCTCCGCTTCCCACTTCAACTTCTTCGCTTCTCCCGAACGGGAGAATTCGTCCGGGACGTTCCGAACGGAAGATCGACCGAAGAGAGAGAAATCGCGGTTGAAAGGTCCCGGGGTGGGGAAGAGGGGCGTTTGCCCGTTTACTCGGACGCGGCGGAGGAGACGCCGGCTTTCTATTTCGGGACTGACTATTTGTGTCTTGGTCTGGAAGAAGAGAGTCGACGAACCGTCGGAAGAAGGAAAGGAGGAAACGGGCGAAGAAGTGGAAGATCGTACTCACCTTGAGCGCCAACGGGACGGAAGAGGGTCGCCGCTAAGCACACCATCACCGCCGTCGCTTCCATCTTCGCGCGCCTGGCGTGACCGGCCGCGCCACAAGAAAGTTAGTGGAGTCGTGCGTCGACGACCGCGACCGCCGTCTCTCTTCCCATTGGTCCGTCCCTCCGGTCGCGCCGCGTGACGTGCCGGCGGAGGGGGAGGTCGAATCGGCGCGACTCCCGGCGGCCGGCGGCAGAGTTAACCCAAGACGGGACTCTCCTCCCTCCCTGCCGCCCGACCGCGGTGTCGTCGCGGATCCGTCGCGAGCTTCGAGCAAGCGCCCACTGAGAAGGGGAGACGTTGGGTAAAAAGGAGAAAAGTGATTCGAGGGTTTGGGCTGCCATCACCGAAAGTTTCAGAGAGAGCGATTTTTTTCTCGACAGTCTCCGGCCAATGAGTCGGCCGAAGGAGACGGATGGCATCTTGTTTATTCTTATCTTTATTGTTGATTCTTCCCCTGGTGCTGATAGACGGGAAGATAGGGGTGACGACTTCTGGCCGATCGTACTTGATCCGAGAACCGTTTAAATCTGCCTGTCTTTAGCAAACTTACGGAAGCGCAAGACGTAACCGAAATTTCTGCGTATATTCTCCGACGAAAGAGCAGAAAATAATTGGTCCAAAACAAAAATAGGTTTTCTATTTTTAGTCAAAGGTAGAGGAGGTTTTTAGTCGTCGTAGCCGAAACGCACTCTAAATCAGGAAACTCTTCCACCAATCAGAATCGTTTTCTCTCTTCGTCCGACCGCTGCAGAATTTCGAAGGTGTTTAAGGAACTGATGAGAGAAAGTCTTCGTTTTTCTGCCGGTTAACTATCTTCCCGAGATCCCGTCTCGGACCGAGCACACCCAAACTACACTTTTCAGTTTGGTCGGTCCGGAGTCATCTCCCTCCTTCTGTTTACCAGACGCGTGCGCTATCTCGGGATACTAACGACTCGGGTGGAGAGATGTCGTTCTATGTAAGTCCCTTAGGAATTTCCTAAATTCCTTTTCGGTTTCGTTTTATTTCGTTCCCTGTAAATTATCTCCAGAGAAACTCTCCTTTTCCTCTTCGCTCGACCCGTCTTTTACGGATAACAAAGAAGAAGGCAGGATTTGCTCTTGGGTGCAGCCACGTTGTTCCTATCCCACATAAAAAGGCCCTCTCTTATGAGAATATTAATTTTAAAAAAGTTATTACTAAATTAATTAATTAACAAAATTTAAAAAAATGCAACGTACTGTACAATTTATAACACTATATTGGACGGCATTTGGCTTTATAAAAAGGTCTTCTTAATGCCTACAGGACGAAAAAAGATTTTTAAAAATCCTTTATGTTGTACAAGATTAGTCGAAATTTCATTAAATTACGTACAGTACACATTTAGGCCCATTTTCTGCATTTTAGAGTTTTATTTTTGTATCTAAATTGCATAATAATAAGATTAGACAAAAAGAAAATACTAATCGAATTTCTGGCTGTTGCGGTTTCGAAACTTGTTATTAATTTAAATGAAAGACATTTATAAACTCCCGTTCAATTGACAACGTCGAAAATACATTTAATCTATTCTAAGTCACGGATGTCCTCAAATGTGTTTCTATTTATTTTAATTTTAAAAAAGTATTTTCCTCGCTGGCCACAGAAACAGGCAACGTCAGCAAACACGTATGAATACGAACAAAGAAAACATTAATCTTTTTCATAAATACATTTTTATTGGTGTCATTTTCTTCGAAAAAAACGTAAAAATATTTTATTTCGTGAATTAAATCTGTTCCTGAAATGTTATTTTTTTAATCTGTTAACAAAACTTCTAACATAAACCCGTATAATGTATAGGAACAGAAAGTTCTTCCTTTCCCTAATCGTTCGAATTAAGATTCAGGTGGACTAACGAATAAAGAGCAATGGACGTCAAACTAACATAAAATTTTGGATCGAATGATGGACAGATTTTGTGTTTAAATAGCCATAGTCCGGAGAAGTCCAATCTCTATTTTTAGCATCCCGTAGCCAGGAATAAATGATTAGCTATAGAGGCAAGCTGAAAAATTCTGTTATTTTTCACGATTCTAGTCAGCGGTAGGCATATTAATTACAGTCCAGGTGTAAAATACGTAACGAAATTTAAGTCACGAAACGAAAGCGTATAGCCTATACCTATTATATAACTTTAAATAACTTGCATATGGTCCTAGCACTGACAACTGATATATGAGCGAGTAAGCTGAGGTGACTTAGTTACCTTATAGCCAAACCCTTCAAGCTACTGCTCTGATTTTAAGTTGACGATCTTTCTTCGTGTACAAATTTTTTTTTAATGAATAACTTTCTACATCATATTAATAAAATAGAGTTAAACGCTTTAAAGTACACCTTTTATGTTTTTTCTATCATGAGAACTGTTCTCTTTGGATTTCCGATAAAAGTTTATTTTACTCGAAATCACCAAATTCGTTCAAAAGGGCGCTTCTACTCGATCCTTCGAAATTCAATCGATTCGAAGGGTAAACCGTGCGCTCGATTGTGCAGGTAAGAATAGTCAGTGCGATCGGCCTTATATAAATTGCATAATTGAAAACGTACAGTACTGTACAGTAGTTTGTCGCTAGCTACAAACGAACCGCCGATCGGCTTGACCTTACTCTTAAATCGCTGACGATGGAAAAGATCGGGCCTCTTCCACTGAAGCATCACACAATGTTTTGAGTTTTGCAAATAAAGTAAGAAAAAAGATTCCAAGTCTGAAAGAGCCCCAAACTAGATAATTATTTTGTTATAAAACGTGGAAATTGTAATGAATAAAAACTAACATAAATCTTGGTACGTAAAATCTACGTAAATTAGCCTATTTCACCTTGAAATACGTGGTGAACCAACACAAATTAATATTATTGTGGATAGTGAATAGTAAAATATGTTAGACAATTTAGAAAAATTGAATGAGTTGGATGGAAGAAGTAAGTTTTCTTCGGAAAATCCAGTCCTAATTATTATTTTTTTTGTAGATACTGAATTTATTATGAAATTAAAGTTTTGTCCAATTGGAATAAACATTTTGTTCATTAAACGAGATGCCTTACCGTCTCCTATTTGACGAAAGGAACGTCCTTACCTACCATTTTGTTTCTTCGATTAATCGGTCTTTAGCTAAAAGGACTTATAAAAAAACGCTTCTGCTTAGTAGCGCGTTATAGCTTCATGGGGCCCGGGCGAATACAAATTATGGGCCTCATGTACTGTAGTGTTGGCATCAGACAATTTTCTTCAGTGAGAATGCTTGAGAAGAAATATTTTCTTATAAATGGTTAGTTTGGGGCCCTCTGTAGGTGGGAGCGCAGCCAATTGCCCTTTTTGCCCATTAAATAACGCGCCACTGCTTCTAGTAATCACTAAATATTGTTTAAGAACGATTAATAATTGTGAAATGTCGCGATGGTAAGAACCATAGCATATACTATGATGACATCCGTCTTTCGTCGACGTGTTTGCTTTTGGCCAGTCAAAAGAAAAAGAAAGTAATTCTGGGAAAACATTTTGTGGACGAGTGGAAAGAGTTAAACGCTTCTCCGTTTGATTTATGGCCGAAAGAAATTAGATATTTAATTTTTTTCGTGGCAGATTGTAATTTATAAATCGTTTTTTGTCTAAAATAATTAACGAAGAGTCGACTGGGTTTCGAGTAATGATTTTTCCTCCTTGGAAAATTTTCTACCCATCGAACCGAGCACAAAATAAAAGGGGTATGTTCTTCGCGTCCCGGAACGAAAATTATTTAATTTTTGTTTTGGATGCTTAAAGTATGAGGAAAGGGAAGGGAGCGCCGATTGGAACTTTCGAGTTAATGGAGAGAGATACAAATAACTGCGCATCCCGTCGATTTTATAAATATTAATTAACTGAAGGTGGAACATGCACGAAAACTATTAGTGCTTAGACCCTGTAGACGCGTTAATACTTTAATTAATTTATTCGTTTTTAAACGTTAATTATTAAACCAGGATGAACTCGAGAGGTTGGTTAAGGAAAGGGAAATTACCCGCCTAACAGGATAATTGGCGGTGGGGAAAGAGGCGACGATTAATCGCATTTACCTTCGACCATCCCCACGTCCTCTCTTTCTCTCCCGGTGGTCACCTTTACCGACTTTAAACCACGGACCCTATCGCCGCCGTTGACCGATAATTGGCCCTTTTCCGCCTCCGGAGCCGGTTTTCTACTCAACAGACGCGTTTTTTTTCGACTCCATCCATTACGCCATTAACTTAATTAACCTTAATCCGAAAATATTCATAAGAAAAAACGCGCGATTATCTTTGCTTCCGTTCTCACGTGCAGTCTGCCCGTCGTCTTCCGTCTCTTCTCTATCCCACTGCGCGCGCTCCCGAATACGTAACTCTATCTACTTCGCCTTCTTACTCATTGATGCAGTAATGAGTACGCGCGTTTCCAACCGAATAAATTATCTCCAAATTTCGCTCCAATCTGGCCCCTTTCAGAAGGGGCTCTAGATTCGACGAGTAATTTCAAATAACGAAAATACGATAAAATGTCAATTTTACTCGTCAGATGGCAGCACTGACGCGGATACGAAACGAATTGGAAACAATAAAAAATCACGTGACAGGTAGAAATGGACTTTTGTACAATAAAAACTAATAATAATAGTAATTATGATCACTCAATTTCCTTATCTACTTTCCACAGGATTTTAACTTTTTCAATGTTTAAATCTTGAAGATAATGTCTATGGACGTTTTTTAAGTTTCTCTCCTGTGTGATGTGTGAATATATAGTAAACAATAATAGTAATCGGGTTCGTTCGAACAAAAATCTCTTATTTAAATGCTAGATTTTTCCTGCGGAAACCGGATAGATTTCCGGTAGGGAGAGAATAGAATTGAACAAATTCTGGCTCACGCACGGAGGTGGGAAGAAAGAAGGAACGAAGTGTTGCAATATTCTGGTTTAGGAACACTGATAGAGTCGAAAAAAAACCGGCTTTCAGTTGTCTCCTTTGATAGTATCTCCGGCATTGTTTAGCTTTCCTGACAGATTAAAGGTTTTTTTCAAACTTCATTATTTCTATTTTCAATGGTTCGATAATATCCTCTAGATTAAATCTAAAT